ACGCTTCTACTTAATACAAATAAAGGTTAGATACTATTTAGTTTATTATAAATAATATATTTCCCAATTCCTACAATGAGTAGTATGGTCGTAGGTTCGATCCCCGGCTGTTCACCACTGGACGTTCTTTCTATGTACGCATTTGACATTCACTCGAACGGTGAAGGAAAACATCGTGAGGAAACCGGCTTGCCTCAGACCTAAAGTCGACGGCGTGTGTCAGGCACAGAAGTCTGATCACCTACATGCCTATTTGATTGACAAATAATCATGAAGCAGATACAGAAATCTTAGGGCCAGACCTAAAAATGTTGTAGCACCACTGTCTTATTTAATTTATATATTTCCCAATCCAGGTATGTACAGTAGACAACTTTGGCATGTTAATTGAAACGATTCAGGTCACTGGATTTATTTTCTCTATGTACGGATGTTCAAAAACATACAAATCCGGCGGATTAAGCCTCTAATCAGTTCTAAGGCATTAACAATAGAGGCGGCTCAAAATTGCCATTATTATTTATAAAGTTTAATTATTGTAACATTTTGAACGAATAAAATAAGCGAAGGTTGCCACTGTATATTATCAAGCACAATTTGGTCTTGTCGCTAAATTTATCAGAGGTTACAACCTTTAGTGTCGTAAATTTTATTTAAATGATAAGATATTTTTTGGTACTAACACAATCATTACTGAGAATTTTCGTATCCGTAAAAGCATTTGTGAACATTTGGCATGCTTATATTGATTCTGTAATGGTAAATTATTTTAATTAGGAAACCCGCTACAATAACTACTAATATATACAATAACTATTGTATTACAATAAATTTGTACTTGTTTGTAACAGTAGCTCGTCTATTAAATTCCAAAGTCATTCATGTAATTCTACTAAATGACTAAAATATTTGAATTTCTTTGTGTTGTAATTTTACTAGATTATTACTATTTAATTTGACTTGATAATAAATCAAACATTTCCAACGTTTCTCATGCTTTGTAGCGCGCATGATGTAGATTTGACTGAATTGTTTCGAACAGTGTTGTTATTATAAGAAGAAATGCATGAGTTCCTGTATCATAGCTATTTAAACGAATGCAAATTACTATAAATTTTACGCAAGTAAAGTTTCATAGATGTTGACTATTGACTAGTAGTACAAATCACATTCTATTACAAAGAGGGGAAATGTATATTATCTTCATCCATACTAATATTGCAACGAGAAAAGTTTTGTTTTCATAAATTATTTCACCATTAAAATACAACATTCGTTATTAGTCAATGTATTTCGAAAATGTATGAAAACAATGTCCAGTCGTGTGAAGCAGTGGTTATTTTAAGCTTAATAAATAAATCGGCATTTATCAATGAAATGTTTATGCTAATTTGTAATTACTAAACTTTAAGCTGTTTTTTTAGGTCACGAGGGCGGATAATGATAAAAATGTTGTTGCCACTTGATATGTACCGAATAAAAACGTTAAAAGATAATAGAGCAAAGGTTACCGTAACACCAGATTGTCTAATGAACACATTTATAATCTTGAAATATAGTTCACATGATAACTTAACAGAAAAATTTATTTGAGTATTCGGAACAATTATAAAACACTTCCTTAAAACAAAATCATTCACGCAAATTGGAACGCAGATTCCAGTTGATTTTTTTTATATTCTATGAATAAATAGATTGGTTAAGCAAATTTTGCCAAACATAATCAGAAATTCAATATTATAATACGTAGAAAACAATTGCAATGTAGCGCCATTTTTGTTACTGGCTTGTTTAGATTTAGGTCAAAGGTCGCAATATTATGTAGACCAAAAATTTATTTAAAATTGCTGCAATCATACGGATTACTAGTATACTATTAGTTATTCCTAAAATATATTGTGCTCAAAGTGGCTTTACTTTGGCAGAACATTCAACCTGTGGAAATGTAATATAACAATGTACTTAAGAAAACCATAAATTATTAGATAGGTTTTTGTTAGTTATTTCAGAATATATGTTATTACATCCGGCATGGGCAGTAATATAGGCTCAACTATACGTTGTTTGGATTTTCTAGCTCTTCGATATTAACGCGTAACGGTCATAGCGCTACTCTCTGAGAAAAATTATGTTACTAATATTTTAGTATTTGGATTTGATTGTTGTATAGTGTGAACATTTTTTATATTAAAATGGTATTCAAGTAAAAAGTTATCTTAACATACGTAACATAATCAAATAACGATTACATAATGCTTCAACGTATCTCCTCATCATACTCTAAAAATATGTTATCTGTATTATTACCATTAATTAAGTAAAAATTATTATACAAAAGATAAAGAACTGTGTCTCCATAAACTTTATTAATAACAAAATATAAACGTCAAGATAGCTTTAAGTACCTACACGCTATAACAGATTATTAAAATTTTATACTATTCATCATATAAACAATATCAATTAATACTGAAAAAACTTATATTGAATTACGCTTTTACCAAATGAGCCAATAGTATTTTTCTGTATAGTACTACATTTTAATGTAAAAGTAATATTTGGAAAAAAATCTAGTTAAGTTAATCACTTAAGCGTCTGTGAAAATTCAATTTTGGCGCGAAACTAAAGGAGTAATATAAATTATTGTGAGGCAATAAATATAGGAACTACGATTAAGTTACGTTTAAAAAAAAAACTATGATAGAAGTGTAAATGCCGTATACGTTAAAAATACCGTAGGGAAGATATAAGAAAACAAGTGGAATAAGAATAACATGTGAAATTAAATGAAGGAAAACAAGTGAAATTTTGTGACCGAAAATAAGACTTGGCTTATAGGTCTCGTTACCAGGCCATAAAATTATTAAAAAAAAAAAAAAAAAAGTAAATGCCGTAGAGGTTCACATAGACAATGCCTCGGATTAACTTCCGGTCCAAACGAACTTAGTGTTTGGCAAATGCCAATTGTCATTTAGACGCCAGACTTAGATTTGTGAGACAGTTCATTATTGTGTAGTCATTGGAAACAAACAAACTGAAAATGCAATTTCAATCTTATACGAAAAAAGGCAATGTATATGTCGCAGCTTAATTAGCCGTTGAATTAACAGCCTAGACTTTTAACTTAACGGCGCCGTTTAACTAACGGCCTGAAAGATATTCAGCCGTAGCATTTGTTACAATATTTAATAAACTGGCTGGCTAATGCTTAGGCCATTCGGGCGATAGAGTCATTATTTGGCAGAAATAAAAAAAGAAACACATATGACATAAAAAATATATAATTTAGTAAAAATTCACATTATTATTGTCACTACACTCTTCCATTGTACTTGTTGTTTTTCATGAATATTTGGAATACACCATGAAAGTTGTGGATTGCCGACGCCATATTGAAAGGCGTTTGAAGAATTTCGTTTCGAGTTTGAGAGTGGCAGAAAAAGGGAATTAAATTTAAATTAACAGTCAACAGGCTAGGCATGTAATGAAACGTCATCGATTTAAGTCATTTGCCTAGCTGTTTAATCAACTGGCTGTACATCTTTCAGGCCGCTAGATAAACGGCTAGGCTGTTAATTGAACGGCTAATTAAGCTAGTTGACTGCGACATATACATATAGTATTCAAGAAATGTAGTAAATTCTAGATGAAAAGAGTTCTAATTTCACGTCTATATTGTAGTCTATTTAACTTTTAAATGCATTAATAACTGTACACCAAAAAAAAATTAATGTAGAGTTTAGAAGTAAATAGAGAGAGATATAAAGTTATGTAAAGTATGAGAAGCCCGTATATGAACTACTATATATACTATTTCTACTCTTACCGGTGTAAATTATTAATTTGTAATAGCAATCACCAATTCAATAATAAATGTGATAGTATTTTTTTAAGGATTAAGTTTAAACAGCTGATTCGATAGAAGATAAATTCTATTATGTGTTTATTCATTATTTTATGCATTACAATATGTATGATTTGGGAACCCTTTTAAGTAAGAAGTACGCACTTAAAGACAAGCGTGTTTAAACTGGATGAAATGTAAATATAAGAACTTTAAAAGTTCTTTTTTTAATAATATCTACTCCACTAATACTACGATTGATACAAATTGATCCTAACTTAGTGCGACTATGACGCCTGTACAAAAAACAGTATATTTTTGACGTAATGAAGTCAGACTTAGCGTTAAGTCTCGTTTCTGAATCGTACTTGGTAACGACATCAACGAGATATCGAAATAATAAAACTATAAAATAAACAAGAAAATACATCTGATTTATCTGTAATACAAATCAGAAAGTTCTTTAAATATATTAATAGCTTTTTCTGAATTAATAAAAGTTAACAGATTATTAAAACTCGTCTATAGCTGTTAAAAACAGTTAAAAGAGTAGCCAAAAGTCATTATTAATTATAACATAATAGTAATTCCTGTTTGTAGAGTCTTTTTGCATTTTTCAGCACTCATAATAACGCCTATGTACATAATTGTGCACATTCATATAAACAAAGTTACATACTGTTATATGTGGATATTACACAGACTACAACCATTTTTTGGGGTTTGAAACATTGCAGATTTGACTTTGAAATCCTTACATTGTGGTCGGTCTTTATCAAGGCATTTATAAATACACCTATGTACTATCTACACTTAATGTTAAAGAATCTTCTTCTAAAAATCAGCAATAGTTACGCGTTGTTGTCATCTTTAGGGTGTTTCTTTTTTTGAAAATAATTACAATATTACTTACAGCTGTAGTTTGAGTTGGTATCCATAGGAGAAGAAGAGAAACGGGCACAAAGAGGCGCGCACGCGCCGGGCCCGACATGGCTGCGCCACACTACTGCCGCGCGCCCTCAGCGGGTGTCACCGGGTGCTGAGATGCCGGGGGGTGGGGCGTGGGGCCGCCACCCGAACACTGGCTCCGCTTTCCTTAGTATCCCGGCTCAAACGGCGCGCGCGCACCCGACACAAGCGCAGCGCGCTCCGGGCCATGGCGGTCCGCGTACTTTGGTAAGAATTAATTATTTCACTACCTAAAAATAACTTCTATATTTTTTCTTTAAAAATATGTAAGAGTTTAAAAATAAAATTTAACTAAATATAATTAAATTATTAGGTTGGTTACCGCGCTGGTGCCGCTTTCAGGAGTAAAGACGAGTCCGGTAAGTGCTTTTTTTTATTTTAATAAAGTGATCAATTTTGATTTTAATACGTAATAGTGTAAAGAAGATCGGGATTTAGGGAATGTTTGTGTAATGGAGGAGCGTCCCGACTCGCCCGTCCGCTTTCGTCCTTTTGCAATTTCTTAAAACTGCAAGCTTGAATCGATTAGGTTTAACAAAAAGCTCGATGAAATATAATTTCATTTCAAGTATTGCGAACTAAAAGTTTAAAGAACTTTCCAGATATTTTAAAATTGAAGTAGGTATCTTAATTTATATCAATATCATAAATGTACTTAGCTGACGACCGACAAAGTTTATCATTACTCGGATGTAAAGCGACAGCATTGCGCAAACAATACAATTTATAGAATTGTATTAAAATAATAAATTACGAATTCATATTTGGAATTTATTTATAGGTAATTAATTTTCTTAATTACGTCAAAGAGGCTATAAACACATACACATTCGCCTTTAAAATTATAAATAGGTATTCATTGTGTTAGGTGTGAGTAAGACAGTATCGTTTTACTATAAAATGCTAGCTCGGCAAAATATCGCGTATCAACTAGATCCTTCAGTGTTTATTTAATAAATAATAATCGCGAAATGTCTATACGCATCTTTAAGCGACTTCCGAAACAGCTAGATTCCAATAATCAAGCAGAAGTTAAATAAAGTCTTATATTCGATTATAAATGTGTTTAATATATTTATGTTGTTTTTCGAAACAAGACAACAATAGCTTACAGATTTTTTCTTTACTTACGGCACCAAATTTTTATTTAAATAAAAAATTATCGATATGGTTCAGGTTCAAGTTTTGGATAATCGAGGATATGCTATGCTATTTGATGCGGTTTAGGCGGAATTTCTATGGGACAAAAATTTTGGTGGTGACTCTCGTACTGTAATGCAGTCAGCAAAAAGTGTTAAATACAGGTTACATTACTTATCGAATTATTTTCTTTTTTTTACTTAGTTAAATACAGTAAAATTAAAATACAGTGTAAACTCTATAAAACGACACTCAAGGGACCGTGCATATTTTGACGTTACATAGAGTTGTCGTTAAATAGAAAGAAGAAAAATCTGTATAAGAAGAAGAAAAAGTTTATTTCAGACTAGTGTTAGTTATAACATAAAAATGTATGTATGTCGAATGATGCCGACAGTTGAGTAAGTTGAGTTTATTACTGGATAGTACAATAAAGCGACAAAAGAACGTACAGAGTTCCGCAGTTTTAACTAATTTTGGCAACTTAAAAAGTACTTTTTATTATTTAATTGTCGTTATTGAGGGTGGGGGTTATGCTATGTAGAGTGTGTCATTGTATGGAAGATAAGCTAAACCAACCAAAGCCGAGTGATTTCGACGCTTTAGGGACTTTGTCGTTAAATCGAGGGACGTTACATGGAGGTTACACTGTAATTAAATAAGGATGTCAACAGGCGGCCTTATCGCTTTCGAGAGATATCTTCCAGGCGACCACTGTTAGGAAAGAATAATTAGGGTTATTTTATTGATACATACAAAACCTAAGTATAATAAGTGCGAGGCCTATGTAACTTAAAGCTTCAACCTCTAGTAATAAGTTATACCATATATAATAGAAATACCATGTTACCGAAAATCCAATATAACATCAATAAGTTCCCGGAAAATGACTTGGCCATTGGCTTAAGACGCGCGAGAGTATTTTTCTTTTACATGAAAGCACTTGCGCAAACATTCTAGAGGATTATTAATAATTTTAAAAAAAACGATGGCGGGATGGCCTACTCCAAATTTTTCCAATTGCTTCATCGTTCAAGTCTGAAGCCGTTATATAAACTTATAACTTCAATTGCAAATGAAAAATTAAACAAAATCCCTTTGATTTCTACTCTTGTCTATCAGTTTCACTCCTCTTTTTCTGTCTATATCTGAGCAGTAGTAAATTCAGCGCGCGACTCTCATCCCTAAGGTCGTAGGTTCGATCCCCGGCTGTGCACCAATGGACTTTCTTTCTATGTGCGCACTTAACTTTCGCTCGAACGGTGAAGGAAAGCATCGTGAGGAAACCTGCGTACCCAAACAGTCGACGGCGTATGTCAGGCACAGGACTCTGATAACCTACTTGACTATTAGATTGACAAATTATCATATCTAGGTAGTAGCGCCACGAATTTGGCAACGTAAGATAAATTACGAAAAAGTAACTATTTTGGATAATAATTACCGATTTCTTGTAATGCAAATATTTCGTAAATATAAATAAATATTCAACAATTGCAAATATTTCGATATTTGCAATTGTTGAAGGTACTTAACCACCTTAACCGCGTGAAATTTTCCTTCATTAGCCATCACAATAACTGTATACTTTGTTGAAAAACTATTATGAAATTTTTTTTATTAATTTATGATTATTTTTAGTAAATTAAATCATAGATAACGTGACATTTATATGCATTTTTCAGTTATTTAATACTGTTGTTAAATTGTAACAGTAACTGATAATGCTTTTCCATAAAACAGATACTTAAATTAATATAAATATTACTGAACTATAAATTAAATTTTAAAAAAAGCTGAAATTCTTCCACTAACATTCTTAAAGCTATCACAAATATGCTACATTCTGGTGAAGACTTATGTTAATATGGCTTTGTTATATTTTATTTTATATTATACTCTTAATGTTAATAAAACAAAATTCGAAGGTTGCTTGAGTATAAACTCATTATAATTATAATAACCGCAAAGACCAAGCGTTTTTGAGATAGTTCGGTGAAAAAAAGTGTTCTGTTTTTACTCTTTTTAGTGCTCATTTTTGAATAAATTATTGTCCAGACAAACACTTTCTACTATGTATGGATTTTCTTAATGGAGTCAGATCGAATAATTCTAGGAACTGTATCGCTATGTTACCACTTAACTATTTTACTACTTGGACGCAATCAGGACTACAAAATTACCTGATTTCACCTGCTTGTGTTCTTTAAGGTGTATTGTGTGTTTTTGTTGTCTGATTATTGTTTGAAATTAAATTACCGAATGTGTATAGCATAATAAAAAAAATGGTGCGTGTACTTATGCTTACTTTGGCTTTCTTTATTTTTTTTAAATATTAAATAATTAATAATAAATATTTAGCGTTAATAATTTAACAATAAGTATTTAATATTTTGTATATTATTCAATTATTAATTAATATTAATAATAATTATTATTTTATTATATTATTAATTCAATTTAATAACTAGGTAGGTTTCATAACCTTTTAACTAAGTAACAATAGGTCTTTGTGAAAAATCATTGCTAAATTTCTTTGAAAAAATAATTAAAACTCCTTTATTTGTTTAAAAGGTACTACAAATGTCATTATGGTCATTCAAAATTCTTGGCATAGCTGCTAACGTCACGCATATTCTATTTCTTTTTACTTGTAGATTGTCTTATTCCCATCTCGCTCGCGCACGCTCGGCGCCCATACTGATAATTTTGTGTCACGGTGCGCGCGCATCGTAAAATTTCACTCTCATAAATTTTTCATAACGCGCCTAAATAAGTATAACTTCAAAAAATATATTGCTCGATTATTAATCTTATATTCGTAAATTCATACAATTAAAATTTATGGCACAAAATATGATAAAACCTTGAATATTAATAAAAGCACAGACACGAGTTTGCTGTGAAGCAGATGAAACGGGGCAAAATTTCAGATTATATATATAAGTAGTTAGAGTTAGCTTATACATTTATCGAATATACGACAATGAAATTGTTAATTGTGTAAAATTCATAATTTAAGTATCATACATATAAATATATTCACGCCGAATAACGCTTTGCCTCGCTACAGACTATTTAAGTGAAGTATATTTTCTTTTAAACATATTTTATGTCTCAATTGCAGCAAGATGACCTTTATGCAAGGGGAGATATCGAAGAAAACAATATAAATCCCAGTCGGTGGCCGCCGACGGAATACTGGCCAACGAGAGGTTTATCGAACCGACCAGACTTACCAACGGTCCAACCCTCATCTCCGTATTCTCAACAACAAGCATCCTATCCTTCACAACCATCCTATCCTCCACAACCATCCTATCCTCCACAACCATCCTATCCTCCACCGCCATCCTATTCACAATCACAACAATCCTATTCCCAACCAACTTATCCTCGCAATAACTTTGCCGTTTACGATCCCGTTACTCATCAACGAGTGCCACCTAATGAAATTACACGGAATTGTACTGCGCCCGGGTGCTGTGTTCCTAAATGTTTTGCTGAAAAAGGAAACAGGGTAGGCAATTTATCAACTACTGTCTGATTTTAGTAAAGATACCCACTCAACCTCACATTTAAAATTTAACTTTATACTTGAAAAATATAAAAATACACACTGAAAATATTTTGATAATAAGTTAATTATGTATTGTATGCAAAGTAAAATAATATATTTTTCTTTTGTACAAACAAAATATTTACTATATAACAATAAATTATTGTTCTGTGATTAATTAAATTAAATAATACATTATTGTGTAGGGATTTCCTGGACATCAAGGGTCACCGGGAATGAGAGGTCTTCCAGGACACGAAGGTGCTGAAGGTCCACAAGGTCCAAAAGGACAAAAAGGTCAAGTAGGACCACAAGGTCCACGAGGCCCTAAAGGTGAAAGGGGAAAACCTGGTGCTCAAGGATTTGTTGGTTTATCTGGACCACCAGGTCCTCAAGGAGATTCCGGAGCACCCGGAATCCCAGGAAGAGATGGTTGTAATGGAACCGATGTAAGTCATCGTTAATTTAACAATAGTTAATGTAATTAAACATTTTTAACATTTTAGTTTTGGAAACTTTTATAGGGAGATCCTGGTATAATGGGGTCTAAAGGATTACAAGGACCTCGTGGAATACCGGGACCGAAAGGAGACAAGGGTGACAAAGGTCAAGCTGCTCATATGGGGAGGTACCCGAAAGGGCAAAAAGGAGAACCAGGTGCTGATGGTATGCAAGGACCTCAAGGACCAGTTGGATTAACTGGTTCTCCTGGACTTGCAGGACCTAAGGGAAATACGGGACCTATGGTATGATAAATTTTTTTTTTTTTCAAAAATAAAATTATTATGCGTACCTTAAATTCTTCATGAGTTTAACTTTCTTCTTTCTTCTTTTGTATTAGCAATTCTTAAAAAAATATTTTAAGTTATAAAATTACTTTGTAGGGCCCACTTGGTCTAAGGGGAGATAAAGGATCGAAAGGGTCAAAAGGCCAATCGATACAAGGAGACAAAGGTGACAGAGGAGATAGAGGTGATAGAGGTCCTGGCTGCCCGCCAGCACCATTAGTTTCTGTTGACAACAAGGGCGCTATTAAGGGTGTCAAAGGAGATAGTGGGACTAAGGGTGATAAAGGGGAACCTGGAAGAATGGGAGAGAAAGGAGATACCGGTCTCATGGGTGAACCAGGGTTGTCGGGACAAATGGGTATTAAAGGAGAAAAGGGTATAAGAGGAAATCCAGGAGAGAGAGTAAGCAAAAGTTTTATAATATTTTGTTAATAAAAATATTTTTGAATATCTCTATAACACATATTTTAATAATAATCAAAGTCATGAATGTAATATAAACTACCGTTGCATTGTCAACATAACTAAATAAAATTTACAGGGTCGTGATGGTATGTTCGGTCCTTCAGGCCCAATGGGGCAGAAAGGCGACCAAGGCAACGATGGATTGCCGGGTCTACCAGGCCGGCCTGGATCTAAAGGAGAACCTGGAAGGGATGGGCAACCTGGTTTAAGGGGGTTAAAAGGTATTCCTGGTCCAGCTGGTGGAAGGACTGGATCCCGTGGCCCCCCTGGTCCTACTGGACCAAGAGGATACATGGGACCTGCGGGTGCTCCGGGAACTGATGGAAGGCCGGGAGAAAGAGGTTTGTCAGGCCCTATGGGACCTCCAGGGGGACAAGGTGAACCAGGTACACCTGGTATAGAAGGGCCTGCCGGCCACAAAGGTGATAAAGGAGAACCCGGTCTAGATGGTTTGCAGGGTGAAACAGGCCCAAAGGGTTATGATGGCCCCATTGGACCCACTGGACCACGTGGTCCTAAAGGAGAGGATGGCTATTCAATTCCTGTAAGATTAATTTTATTATAAATCTTAAATCTAAATGAAAAACAATTTAATAAAAAAAATGTTCCTGTAATGTTTTTCAGGGTGAAAGAGGAAATCCTGGAGTGCCAGGATTACCTGGAGAAAGAGGTCAAAAAGGTGAACATGGTTATCAAGGCCTAAGAGGTGTTCCGGGAAATTCTACTTTAGGTACACCTGGCAGCCCAGGAGAAATGGGAATGCCAGGTGAAAAGGGTGAAAGAGGTCGTCCAGGCTTTGACGGACTACCTGGTAATCCTGGTGAAAAGGGTAATATCGGTGGGCGATGTAATGAATGCTGGCCGGGTGGTCCAGGACAGAAGGGTGATCATGGATCTGATGGTATTCCTGGAGAAAGGGGTGAAAGAGGTCCTTCTGGTCCAGCTGGTTTGACCGGTGAACGAGGCTCTGATGGACTTAATGGATTACCAGGCTCAGTTGGAGCTCCAGTAAGTCAAATTTTTTTTAAAGTAAATTTCAGTATGCTTTTATATAATTCAATTCAAATTGCATTATTGATGCGTTACATAAATGTTTTTATGTTTTATTGTGAATGTATCTCATAAATATAAAATCGGCGTGCGATCTCATATTTTTATAAGACAGTTATTTTGGGGAATACGACATTGATAACGAAAATCACGTGAATTCATCAATCCATCAAACAACCGGTATGGCAAGCAAGGGTGGGACCGTGTGCATATCGCATCTAAATAATAATTGTATTTATTTTCTATTAACGTATGAAGTATTTTAAGCTACTTTTTTTATGAACACAGTCAAACTTTTAAGCAAAGATCATTCAATCGTAATAATTTATATGACGTATGCAAACAAATTGCGTTGTTAAATTCATTTCTAATTTATTTTTTGTAGGGTGATAGAGGAGACGAGGGCCCCATGGGGCCACCTGGAGAAAGTGGAGCTGATGCAATTATACCTTCTAATTTAGTAAAAGGACCTCCAGGAGAAAGAGGTCTTCAAGGAGAAAAAGGGCTAATGGGACCAAAGGGCGATAGAGGAGTCATGGGACCTAAAGGGGACCGTGGATTAAATGGAATGCCAGGGTTTAAGGGCGATCAGGGTAGAATGGGATCGCCTGGTGTTGATGGTATATCTGGTAGTGATGGATCGCCAGGAATTCCAGGAAACAAAGGAATGTCGATTAAAGGAGAAAAAGGAGAGCTTGGATCTCAAGGATTCAAAGGTGATAAAGGTATATCAGGAAGAGGTGGTTTAAAGGGTGAACCTGGACAGTGTCCAAACTACTTGCAATTATTGACAAAAGGTGAAAAGGGTAATCAAGGTGCACCAGGTCCTCAGGGCCCACAAGGTAAGACACGAGTGTAACAAGGAAACATTTTAAATTTGTGAACTTATTTTCCTTTTATAACAATTGTTTTTTTTTTAGGAATGCCCGGAGAAAAGGGTGACAGAGGTTTCACAGGAAAGACAGGAGACAAAGGTCAAAAAGGATTAACCGGACGTACTGGTCCTGTTGGTCCTCGAGGTTACCCAGGACTTAAAGGAGATAAAGGAGACTTAGGCTCAATGGGTTTTCCTGGTACCCCTGGTGACACAGGGTCAAGAGGATTTCCAGGTCTTCCTGGTTTAAAGGGAGATAAAGGTGAAATTGGACCGTCAATGCCGGGACCTCCTGGGCCAACTGGATTTTTGGGTAAAAAAGGAGACAGTGGACCCAGGGGTATACCTGGTACACCTGGTAAGGATGGGCCTATGGGACCAGTGGGTTTGACAGGTGAAAAGGGGGATAGAGGTTTTGCTGGTTCCCCTGGGTTTCCGGGACCTGTAGGCTTAAAAGGAGAACCAGGTCCGGTTGGACCCCCGGGAGTTCCGGGAATACCAGGTACACCAGGAAGAGATGGGCCAAAGGGTCAGCAAGGTTTTCCAGGTAAACCAGGAAATCCAGGTGTTATAGGACTACCTGGTCAAAAAGGTGATAGAGGCATCCAAGGAATAGAAGGTCCTAAAGGATTCCCAGGTCCACGAGGTCGCCCAGGACTAAAAGGTGCTACGGGATACGATGGTAGTCCTGGAGATAAAGGTGATAAGGGTGAATTAGGGTTTCCAGGTATTCCTGGAGAACCAGGTTTGCCTGGACCAATAGGACCTGTTGGAATAGAAGGACCAAAGGGAGATCAAGGTTTTCAAGGACCCCCAGGGCTACCGGGAAGAACTGGAATTACGGGTGAGAAAGGCGATAGAGGTTTCCCCGGACCATTAGGACAAAAAGGGGAACCAGGTAGAGCCGCAGAAAAGGGAGAAAGAGGTTTTCCAGGTATTCCAGGTGTAAGAGGATTAGACGGACAACCTGGTCAAGATGGACAAAAAGGAGATAAGGGAGATATTGGAGTTCCTGGAATAGGTATTCCAGGACTTTCGGGGGAAAAGGGCGATATAGGTTTTCCTGGAAACCCTGGAGTTGCTGGTGAACCAGGCGAAAAAGGTAACCGCGGTATGCCCGGCAGAAACGGTCTTAAAGGAGATAGGGGACCAGTTGGAGATTCAGGTTTACCTGGTCGACCGGGATTAGATGGATTACCTGGACCAGCGGGTGACGCTGGTCTACCTGGTTTACCAGGTGATAAAGGAGGAAAGGGAGAAAGAGGTTTTCCTGGTAGAGATGGATTTGATGGTCAAAAAGGAGATCTAGGGCCATTCGGACCGCCAGGCTTAGTAGGAGACAAAGGATACCCTGGTCTAAAGGGAGACAGGGGACTTCCCGGACCATCACTTAACGTAAAAGGAGACAAAGGAGATATAGGGCCTCCAGGACTACGTGGTCCAACAGGGCAGAAAGGTGAAACTGGACGAGATGGACTGCAAGGTCAACATGGTGAAAAGGGAGACCGAGGATTCACTGGTGAAAGAGGAGATTATGGTCAAACTGGTGCCAGAGGTGAAAAAGGTAACTTATCGACTGATAATTTATTTCATTTTACTTATTGAATATAGTTTCAGTGTTTATAATACTATAACCAAAACTAATCAAATCACATCATAGAGACAATCCCCTACGTCCCGTTCATTTTTCGTGTTGGGTCCGGACACTTGTTTACATTATAGAAACTGAGTTTATGATTCACCAAAGTAATTTTATTTTCCATAACAATGTTATTAGATATATACAATAACTTTAAAAAATTTTTAAAATACTATTACCAATTACGTTAATCATTTATATCGCTCCAAATAAATTAAATCATATTATTTTTCATATTAACTCAAATGAATATAATTTTATTCAATTTCAATTTCAAAAATTCTTTATTTTATTTCACAAAAATTTATAGTGTACATATCCAGTGTACATTATTTCCTGGAATGTAACAAACTTACAACTAGACACGTTTTTACAGCCATTTTGCTTTTTTAAAAACTTAAAAAATAGATAAAACTAAAGTTATAATGTTTCGAAAGGTTTCAACAATAACAAACTACGAGTAATTAACATAGTTAAACAATGAGGTAATCATGCAATCTTTAGATGAGATTTGCATTTTGACATAAATTAATTTTATTTTATTAGTTGATCATAAGAATCAAGTATACAGTAATTACAATTTTCTTAACCTACAAAGTAATAATAAAAATTAATAAAAAAGAAAATTATTTTTTTTACACAACTCGTCAAAAACTATGAAGTAGCTAGTCATTTGTACATTTTGCGGTAATGTCCAAATGTGTTATTTAATTCCTATAACAAAATATTTATTTATTGATTGATTCCTATTATAGAGAATTTATTGATCACTTAAATACTTGTAAAATTTTAGGTAACACTGGACCAGCTGGACCAGGTGGCATATCTGGCCGAACTATTAAAGGAGAAAAAGGCTTGCCAGGTATTCCAGGTAAACATGGGGGGCGTGGCTTGCCAGGTGCAACCGGAGAAATGGGAGAGCGCGGATTACCCGGATTACCGGGGCAAACAGGACGTCCTGGAACGCCAGGACAACCTGGCCCACAAGGGGAGAAAGGAGATCAAGGTCGTGAAGGTGTTGAAGGGCCGCCAGGATATGATGGAACTCCTGGTTCAATGGGTCCTCCGGGTCTGATCGGTGAAAAGGGAGAAAAGGGAGACAAAGGTGCGATTGGATTTGGTGCACAAGGAGAAAAAGGTAACCAAGGAGTTCCTGGTCTACCTGGCTTACAAGGAGAAAGAGGAGAAAAAGGAGATCGAGGGTTCGACGGGCTAAATGGTCAACCAGGACCAATGGGAGAAGTAGGTGATAAGGGTGAAATAGGTTTCCAAGGTAGCATAGGTGTACCAGGCGTGGAAGGTGTTAAGGGTGACAAAGGTGATGCAGCTATAGTTGTATATGGAGCAAAGGGAGAACCTGGACCTAGGGGACCACCTGGATTTAACGGTGCTCCTGGTCAGGATGGTATTCCTGGAACGAGAGGATTGGACGGTCTACCAGGTGAGAAAGGAAATCAAGGATTCCCAGGCCCTTACGGACCACAAGGCCCTCCTGGAGTACAAGGCTTACAAGGGTTCCAAGGTGAAAGAGGTGAAGCAGGTCGCATTGGATTCCCGGGTGCACCAGGACTTCCTGGCGCTCCTTGCCAAAATAGAGATTACCTAACGGGAATTCTTTTAGTAAAACATAGTCAGACTGAAATAGTGCCAGAATGTGAACAGGGTCACGTTAAGCTATGGGATGGATATTCTCTACTCTATATTGATGGAAACGAAAAAGCGCACAATCAAGATTTGGGCCACGCCGGTTCCTGCGTCCGCAAATTCAGTACAATGCCATTCCTATTCTGTAATCTCAATGACGTGTGTAATTATGCAAGTAGAAATGATCGAAGCTACTGGCTTTCAACTAACAACCCCATACCTATGATGCCAGTAGAAAATAATGAAATTAAGAAACATATATCAAGATGTGTCGTATGCGAAGTTCCCGCTAATATTATAGCAGTTCACAGTCAAACACTAGATATACCCAGTTGCCCGGTTGATTGGACATCTCTGTGGATAGGATACAGTTTCGTTATGGTGAGTAAATATTGTCTAAATTATATTTAGGTATGATACATTTTTTCAGTACCTTTGCTTTACCGGTTTGGTTTTAACACCTCCGGAACAGAGAAAGTGAAAAAAAAATTGTATCACTTCATTAACAAACAATTGATCTATGGTTTAATGCACATAGTACATTTTTTTTCGAATACGCGTTCGATGCTAGAATATATCAAGCATATTTCGATACTAATACAAGCATAAAATCTTTCAGTTAAATTCTCTGATTATTTTAAAAGCATATGTATAAAATATGTTCTCGTTCACCATATTTGTCTAGATATATCTGAGCGAGCATTATTAAAAATAAATGGTTTTTGTAGCATACCGGTGCGGGAGGTAATGGAGGCGGACAAGCACTTGCAAGTCCGGGGTCCTGTCTTGAAGACTTCCGAGCCACACCATTCATAGAATGTAACGGTGAAGCAGGCACTTGCCATCACTTCGCCAATGAACTCAGTTTTTGGATGACAACTATCGAAGACAATAAACAGTTCGACATGCCCGAACGAGAGACATTAAAAGCAGGTCGTTTACTCCAACGAGTTTCTAGATGCGCAGTTTGTATTAAAAACACGTAGTTATCATACTAAGAACTATAAATTAAATTTTTTAGGACAATAACAAATATTTTTATAAATTAAAAACAATTCGAAGTTAAAGATATTGTCTCCTTTCTAAAATTGCGAAAATTACGATACACCAAAGCTTTTTATCTTAAGTTTAGTCTAAGACCTATAATTTTTATTATTCAAACGGCGCTATATTTATTTCTCAGCCATAATTAAAGAGTATATCCTAATAGTTATGAACATGTTTTGTTATTGAATGTATAAAAATATGTAAAGTATTGTTATATTGTTTGGTCAGTATGTATTTAATAAATGATAAAGCCTTTTAAAAATGAAAATGAATGGATATCTTCTTGCATCTTCAGTCTCCTATAAATATGTTACCTGTACATACAAACGAATATTCTGTTTATCAGATAAAATGTTCAAGAATATGTTTTAAGAAGGAAGCTTTTGTTTATATATTTAAAACAACAAAAATAATAATTAATAGTAAGCACTGCCATTGTAGATAGATTAATAAAATAATGTGTTTATTAATAGATTACTTATAAGATTTTATTAAATATATTATAACATAAAATATTCGTTCTGTTTATTTAAATATATATATGGTATGTAAAATATTTGTTTTATAAAAGAACCTACCGTCTCCGTTTAGATACCTATTATAAGTAAAAAACTATTTTACTCATTATATTAATGACCTATTAAAATGAATTAATAACAGACACGGGTTAATTGGTAGCAGTGGTTCAGAACCGTTAACCACTACAAAAGTGTAGTTTAATAGAGCCCCGTTCGTTGTATACAAAAACAGTTTTTTTATACACGCAAACGGGCTTACCTGATGTTAAGTGATAATAGATCACTAATATGTCCCCCCATGGACACTCTCAATGTCAGAAGGCTCGCCGGTACGCTCTTCGCGGTAAAGTCGAATTGGTTTAACAATACTGCAGTGGGTACGAGTTTTCAAATCGGAACATGCTCCAGGCCAGAAAGCTGGAGATCCAATTGCATCATTTTTTGGGGAGGCCATAGGCTGGTAGCTTCGAGAGAAGCGTTTTATGCCACACCCGATCGAAGGCTTTCGCTATATCCAAACTAACCGCTAGCGCCTCCCCCTTGGACTGAATTGCCTCTACCTATCTATGTATAAGGTATACAAGAATGTCACAGCTGAGAGATCACGACGAAAGCCATACTGATAATCGCTAACCAGTTGGTGGCCCTCTAGATACCTCAGAAGCTGGCCGTTAATAATAGTTTCCACTATTTCGGAGAACAAGGTTATATCTATTGGTCGAATCAGAGCGATCGCCTTTTTTAGGGATTGGATGTGTTGAAGCGGTCTTCTAGCACTTCGGGGCAGTGCCGAACGAGTACAGGTACCTGAAAAGGCGCGTTAGGACCGGAGCAAAATCAGGAGCACAATTGTAGGGATGCCATCAGGGTCGCTCGCCTTATGAATGTCCAAGGAAGAAAGAGTTTTGCGGATAGCACGTTGCCAAAATATGTTTTCCGGCATCGAAGTGTCACTCCATGAAATGGTCGGTGGTGCGGTGCTCTTCCTTTGACTTCCAAAGTCGAGTTGGACGAGAAGAAACATCCCAAAATTTCGGCATTATCTTTCCCGGTAGGGGCTAACGAGCCACCTCCCTGTGCAGAAGTGGAACGGAGGGCTCACAGAAATTCTATTAGACAGCTTTGGCGAGAGACCAGAAGGCTCGAAATTTTATCTAAGTGATATTTGATAGTACTATTGTATTGTGTTTTGTATTTCTAAAAAGAAAAAGCATTAAAACAACATGATATGTGATGGCTAGGATACCTGAGATTAATATTATTACTACATATAATTTATTTTATCCACGGGCTTGAGACAAAAACAATAGCTCACGATTTATCAGGTGACCGTTTCCATACAATTTGCTGTTAAAGGGTCACGCCAGTTGCAGTGACTAGAGTCTGGCTAATGAAAGTTGATACTGAAAAAGCGCGGCAAATTTAAAAAATATCAGCATGGCAGCCCTCAAGTAAAAAGGAAAGTTGGAACAACTCACTTTGATACTTTGACATTCATTTTTATTTTACTAGTGGATGCTTGCAATTTCTAGGCTTATAGGTTTTGTGGCCTTCAGTTTCATCTAAGTAGATTATTGGCTTGCCTTCTGCACGTTTCGATGCAATGGTACGCAAAAAGCGATGTCTCCATGCAGCTATATCATACCGTTCAATTAATAATGAACGTTCATTTTTGTTTTTCTTAAATTCATAACTGTTGGCTAATAATCTCAAGACTATCTTTAAAAGAACAAAACCATTATTTAAAGTAACTAAAACTTATATGTACTTATTTAAAATAAAAAAATATCAATACATTTTGACCGTACTAACTTTAGTATTGTCATATAAAAAGTTTGCAAAAAAATCCAGTATCTACTTTCGTTAGCCAGTCTCTATGTGACTTTAGTCTGAAGCCCAGTTTCTATACTACTGTCATTGTCATTTGTCACCAAAGCGGGAAAGATATTTGGCTGTGGTTGACGTTGAAGAGCGAAACCCAAATTCAGTAGTATTAGTACTGTAAAATAGAATATCTTATTTAACTGTTAGGAATTAATATGGATAACGATACTTCTTAAATTCTAAATTATTTCACTGTTATTCAAGTACTTTTCGACATTTCAAACTAATAATGCTTCAGTAATAAAATAAAAAGAATCGAAATCAGAATGTTTGAATGGGCTTACAGTGGAGCAAATAAAGCTGTACCAAGAAATGTGGGCCCCGAATGCGCATATTTTTTATCAACGCAACGAAAAATAATTGAAACAATTATTGTGACAAGTGTTTGTATGTATGTTATTGTAAGTATTTTATTATATTAATTAATTTCTCGTTGTTTTTGTCTAAGTGAAGCCTTATAACTTAATTGACCCGTGATACTAATTATAATTTAATTAAGAGCCCTAGATTTATATTTTTTCAAGGAAACTTGCGGTACTGTCACTAAGGGTATAATACGTTTCTAATAATATTTTTATTTTGTACCAAGGCTAAAACATACCCAAAGTTAAACATTCCAAATGAAGATTCATATGTTAAAAGTGACAGAGGTGGGAAGAGATTACTAGTGATTTTACTTGCCTTACTATGGGGAATGGAAATTGGTTTCAAATTTGCATCACGAACTGTAATTTACTTATTGAATCCATGCCATGTTACTACATTAATTCAAGTAAGTATCATAAGTAAATCCATTGTAATATTTGATTGTTACTAAGCATATTTTATAATTTCATTTTCTTTTTATCAAATATTTTATAGCCATGTATTTGGATTTCAGATATACTTATTGTCTGCACCACCTAGTAAAACAGTTACAACTCTGTTTAGAATTCACTTAAATTTGTTAAATGGACCACTTTTAGCTTTTCTCTTTCCGGAAACTGCATCAAGAACTGTAAGTTTAAAATAACAAAATAAATAAAGTAAAGAATAGTAATTGCTACATTTCATCATAGTAGCATTTTTTCTTCTGACCATTACATATTGTATTATAATGAATACCACTCTATCAATTTGCCTTAGATACTTGCAGAAGCTGCACTGTATTGGATTCAACATGGAATGATGTTTGTGATACCATATTATTTGCTCAGAATTGGTGGTGGGTAATTTATCAGTGTTTTTTTTTATTATACTTACATAGTATAAAAAATATATTTATAAGTATTTTTAAATAATGGTTTATTTTACAGGTGTTTATAACATAGAGCCCTTTTGGGACTTCAATTGGGCTATATTTAGTTATTCTCTTAATCTGCTATATCACTTCATTATTTTACAAATAATAGCCATAGTAAGTTATATATTCAAATAGAATAGTATTGTAGTATATTATAAAATTAGACAACAAATATTTTTTCTTTAGTAATGTCTGTTTGTATTGGATTTAAGAAAGTAATGCCAACTATTCTATTTTAACTAAACTAACTATTCTATTTAAACTATTTTGTTTTTATTCCAGCCAGCACAAGTTAACCTTAACCATATGCTGTGTCCAGCAATATTAGATCCATTTGATGGTGCCTGGTATCGCATAGCTGCAGTATTACATCAAGCTATTTTGTGTCCTATGTTATGCAAACTGTTTTGCCTTATGGCAGAATTTTGTTTGACAAAGTTTCCACCTACCAAAGTGAAACCAAAGATGAAGGATAATTTACTAGATAATATCTTAGAACATAAAGAACATGTTGAATAAAAGATAAGAAACAGTATAAAGCAATGAATTGTTCTGATAAAATTTCACTACTTCCACTTTGCGGAGGTTAATCATAATGTGATATTTGGCAAAGCCTATATATTCAGCACATGATAGTCAAAAGATTTAGAAATGCGCTAAATTTTCATTTAAATAGAAATGCGCTCGATTGCTTTCAATTTCGCACAGAGATCTTTGGTTGATGACAAAAACGTTTCACAATTAAAATGTTGAGCCATATAAGGTCTTTTAATCATATATAATATTATCTTTATTATTCTAGAAATTTGTTATTTAAAATTTTATTTATTTTCTTAATAACAAAGACTCATTATTTATTAATTTATTGCAATTGGTGTAATTTATACTTATAGTAGGTATACATTGTGTAAAACTTAATTTCTGTGTAAAAAATATAACAAGCAAAAAAGGAAAAAAAATTAACATTCATACTGAACAGTGTTTACATCACAAGACAATTTTAGAATATTCCGGATGGTCCAGCTAATGTACTTACATGAAAACTTATAAGTTATGAGATAGCATATTATATAAACCCATTTTAAAGTATTACTAACCTATCAACATTGTCATGACTAGGACATTAAGCACTTACAAAATACATATAGATAGATTAGTCTAGTTTAAAAACACACACATTAAAACAATTAGTAATGATTTAATGCAAATCTTGCATTATTTCTGAAATTAATCCTTAACAGAATAATAAATAAATTTAAGTTACTTGCTTTTGCCTTGGATAGGACAATATTTTTTTTTTTAAATATAATTTGTAATTTTTTTTATTTTGGTTATATGGGAAGTAATTAATTGATTTACTCAAGTGAACATCTACAGATGTTCACTTACGTTAATCATATTTAAATTGTAGCACTGACTGTAGCAAAATAATACAAGGCACAAAAAAAAATTGCACATAAATCCTATGTAAAGAAAGGTACATAGAAAACCCTTAAAGCCTAGAATGTACAAAAGTTGCAAGTTACTGTATCTCAAATATAATTTTTTTATTGACAAATTGAAGCTGGAGTTGTGACTTAATGGAGAATAGAGTGAACCACTTTTAAAAATATTTACATAACTAAAATATCACACATTGACTAGAATAATTTTCAAACTAAACAGTATACTTTACATCAGCCATCTAGAGGTAATCCTACATACACCATTGATACTTCAGTGTTCCCATACACTGCTGAGACTGTTGGATATAATTTGGTGTTAAAAGGAAGATCTGCAAAATATTGTTAACATGTTAATTCTGTAACCTAAATATACAAAAATAATCTCAAATATTATTCAACACCTTACTTCTGAATGCAACTCCTAAAAATTCATATTTCTTCTCAAAACATAAAGTGCCTGAATCACAATCCAAAATGACTCTTACTCGTTCACCAACCTTAAAAATAGTATCGGAAGATACATAAAATTGAACTACTGTGTTTTCTGTAAATATCAAATAAAACACTAGTGCGAATAAAATATAAGTCTTACTTGATATTTTGGACTGTTATTCATCATGGGATAGTCCCCTTGAGTGTCTCCATTATGTAACAGTATATTATCAACTAGATTCCACCCCCAGCTGGACTCATCAGAACCTAGTAAGCCCACATAACCTTGACATTGCAATGGTGCTTGTTTAGTTGAGACTCCTATAACAGCAACAGTACCCAATGGTCCTTCCCAAATAACTTCCCAGGCATGCCTTCCTCGACTAAACCCAATTTTTCCCCTACAGGCATCTGTACTTTGGGCAACTGGATTTCTTAAATAAAACAATGTTATGTTACATAAAACTTCCATAATTAATAAAAAAACAACTAACAATTAAATACTTGTACAAGTTAATGTTGTTATTACCAAAGCAAAGACAAATTTTACCTGTGAAGAGTGAATCCATTTGGTTTAATGTAAATATTTCGGGAGCAGTCATTAGGGCTCCATGCATGAAGGAATGCTCTTAACTTAGTTTTATATGTAGGTAAATTTGAAAGTAAGTCAGATCTCAACACTTCCTCAGACAACCTTCTGATGCAGTGAAACCGCCACAATTCGTTGTTTTCGTCACCGAGAATTCTAAACCACGTTTTACATACTAACATGCAATTCTTCAAATCTTTCAAGTTAAGAAAAGAGAAAATATTTTCTAATATTTGGTCTTTAACAAGTTCAGCAATAACATAATCATTGCTTAAATCATAACCATTCATCATATTAATATTACAGTTACAGATAACTTGTTTGATATACATTGAACATAACTTTATAACCCAGTTTTATAAAAAAAGAACGCAACAGCGATTCCTTATGTTGTATTTTTATACAGGCATAAAACTTCACTATTCATTTTGCTGTAAATAATTTTAAGTATAACACCATAACCATGTTTTAACAGATGAATTGGACTTTGGAAATAGCACAGAGAATAGAGAACAATCAACAAAGTATTCAATTTCAGTAGATAATCAGTATAGTCCAAAGCATGAACCCTGGGAGTAACGGTTCCCTTAAGGTTAGAAATTTGTATACTTACGATTTATGACATCTAAGAGCAATAGCCATGACCTGGCAGGCGTCAGCCCTGCACGTCATCAGCCCCTTTTTTTTTTGGACTGTTAAGTAAATTGAGTTTCAAAACTTGTTTCTGTAAATTTGAAAATTTTATAGGATAAAGTTTATTTATTGTACATCTTAAAAAAAATTGACAGCATTACAATAAGCAGAAGTATATGACAGATCAATTAGAAAACGTACAGTTGATGATTAAAATAAACTTTATCCTTATACTTAAAATTTTTATATGTTTTCAAGTAAACGTCTCAGAGTAAATATGTACAATGCCAGGCGGTTTTGAACAGCATAAGACCTTGACAGGCGAGGGGACAGCTGCTAAGGGAGTGCGAGTGAGAGGTGTTGCGTGAATGCCTATAGTGCGAGTGAGACCGTTTATCTAATACGAAGGGACGTATACCTCTCTCGAGCAACAATGTACAGAGAAGAATTTCGTCAGTTGTGCCAATGATTTTTACTTGTGAAGATGCTTTGAGCTATAACATTTCTTATGTTGAGTGAATTCGAATTTTTAAAAAATCTAACTTTATATTATTATCAATTGTGCAGTGATATTGTGTATTGTTGTACTTAATATTAACATTTCAGTAAATAACATTAACCGGTTGCGATTTCAATCCGTCCTTTTCAAGAAGAGGTAAAAAAAAACCATTCCAAATATTGCAGAAATCGAGTGTATATCAGAAGGCATTCAAAGAATTAGAAACCAGAAATAGTACAGAAGAAAAAAAAATTTTCCCGATACTAGAGAAATTTGTATGCCAAATGTATGGTTTGAAATGTTCAAAGTTAAATAATGCACTTATGAAAAGTTCCTTCTACTACAACACAAATAATCCTAAAGTGTTTATGAAAAAAGTAGTAACTATGATTCATCAATTTACCACCCTCAAACTGAACTACATCAACAATTATTGAGAATCCTACATTACAAATATATGGCGAAATTGTAATTTAAAAGAACCAACAATTCTTACACCTGAAAATAACGGTGGAACTTAATTGATAGTCGTTACGAATTTAATTGGTTTGAGGGGAATACGGTTCCATCTTCTATATACGACATACTTTTACAAGGACCTCTGATACTGCCACAGCACAATCGACTGAAACGAGGAATCATTTCAGGTAACATACAACTATTTTATTCCGTAACATTTAATACGCAGTCCTATTAATTGAGCTTGATATTTAATTCTTAACAACCTTATTGATTCATTAAAATATTTTTTTTTACTATTTTCAGATGAGGAAAACATTGTTGAAGAATCAGATGATGATGAAAAGTGATAGCAATTCATCTGAAGAAAATGAATGTTAAAAATAATGTAGATTCATAAAACCCAATAAAATACATTGCATTTACTGTATGCGTTCATGTAACATTTCTTATTTGCACGCCGCTGCAGCAGCTGTCCCCTCGCCTTCAAGGTCTTATGCTGTTCAAAACCGCCTGGCATTGTACATATTTACTCTGAGACGTTTACTTGAAAACATATAAAAATTTTAAGTATACAGGATAAAGTTTATTTTAACTCATCAACTGTACGTTTTCTAATTGATCTGTCATATACTTCTGCTTATTGTAATCGCCTGTCAATTTTTTTTTAAGATGTACAATAAATAAACTTTATCCTATAAAATTTTCAAATTTACAGAAACAAGTTTTGAAACTCAATTTACTTAACAGTCCAAAAAAAAAAAAGGGGCTGATGACTGCAGGGCTGACGCCTGCCAGGTCATGGCTATTGCTCTTAGCATGTCATAAATCGTAAGTATACAAATTTCTAACCTTACAGGGAGACCGTTACTCCCAGGGTTCACTAGCTCTCCAGCTATATAGTGCTTCTATTTTAAGGACAGACGAATAGACTTAGAAAGTAAAAATACGAATTGTTTTTAAAGATCGGATCGGATCGAGGCTATGAATTAATAAAGAAAACACTCTTAGATAAAAAAGGAATTTGTTGATATTTTAATTTCTTACGCGATCCTGATGAGTAAACATGAATGTTGTTATATTTCGTTTTACGTAGGTTGGCAGTAGTTTTTGCGGGTTTTAATAATAATAAGTGAGGTATTCACACATATCATACTCAGCTAAAAAATTTCAAATTATGAACAAAATCCCCGAATTATGTATTAGGTTTAATAGACAAAGTATTTTAATTCAAATATCGATTAACAATTTCTTTCTTTATTTTTTAATAAAGGGGAGAAGAAATAAGTATCGATACTTATTATGGAAGGTATTATTACGGTACTTAACTCTCACAAATTAGGTGTCGATTTCAATAGTACTTGGTATCAATACTTTTTGCGAATCCCTAACTCTGGTTCTGTCACAAGTTAGTATAATAGTGACTACTGACATATTAATTTTGTTCGGTATTTTCACTTTTCAGACTTCAATTTTCAATTTTCATCGTAGTTTGTGACTTGTGAGTTCTGACATCATAATTCGTTTAATAAATCGAAAAAGTTGCAATTTAGTTAAGGGGTTTGTAAAGTTATCTCTAGGAAAATCCGTCAGCTTTTCCACAATGCCAACATCTACGACCAGTTGCTTTATTTCATGTTTATTATTATGTCTCGTTTTGTCAACTGATAACGTTGTCCTAGCTAATGAAAACGAGGTAGAAAGCATTTCTAAAATTGGACAGGGAATGGGCCATATCATGAACATTTATTACTGGTAAGTTGTTTTTTAACTTTTATTAGTAGTATACACGTTTTTGCTGTACCTAATTATGTGTTTCAGTTATTCATGCGGTTATAGAAAAGTGTTTGAAGACTATGCTGGAATTATACAACAAAAATATCCTGAAATATCAGTTCTTGGAGCAAATTATGATCCACCTGGTTTTAATATGTATCTTTCAAGATTGATTGTAAGTACTGTTGATTGTTTGCATTGCAAAACTGGTGGACTGTATTGAAATATTATTCTACTTTTAAATCCTACATTATCTCTGACGATGATAGACTGGAAAGTATTTTTAAAAGAGTTAGATACATATGAAAATTTTGATAATAACTCAAGGTATTAAAAAACTATTGACAAAAGAGCAAAGTGATACATTATAGTTTTATAGAAGACATCAATATCTATAAAAAGTTCATAGCAATAGCTAATGTAAACATGCAATAACACATTTTTAAATGTTGGTATTAATCCTTATCCAAATAAATCTCTTCATATTCACTAAGTAATTATAAATTTTAATATATAAAAATCCAGAGCTAAATCGACAATAATAATAATATACTAAATACCAGTTGAAACATAGTTTAGAAGTTTAACATTTATTTTTGTTACAGGGATTTGGGAAAATGATAGTTATAATGTGCATTCTTAGTGGAGTTAATATATTTGCTTGGCTTAATAAGCCACAGCCTTCATGGTGGAGTTGGTGTTTAGAAAACAAGCTTTATGCTTGCATGATGATGTTTTTTATGGCTAATATGATTGAAGGCCAACTAGTATCTTCTGGCGCATTTGAGATATCACTTAATAACATTCCACTGTGGTCTAAGTTGGAGACTGGAAGAATTCCACAGCCACCAGAACTATTTCAAATAATAGACAATACATTGCAGTTTTCAAAAATGGAAATGCCCTCTAACAATTTTGGCCAGTAACAAAAATGAAATATTTCCTACAAACCATTTGTTTTAGTGGTCTACTATCTGGTTACTAACTATTTGGTTATATTTATGTTAAGAAAGCGTAATATAAGATGTTGCAATATAATGAAAGATTACCAATACTAGTTATTTCTTTAATATTGTAAAACAATTTCTCTTGACTCTTGCAACTATACCTAAGTTTATATAATGACATGCATTGCATTGTGAGATTTCAGTGATACATTCTTTATCTTATCTTTTGATACGTAAAATTTGCTTTAATACTGAATGAAACATTTACCCTACTTTGAACATACAGAAGTTATCTAGTCAGGTGATAAATGATTCAAATAGTAATGTCAAGAGACAAAAGGTGGTAGATTAAATAAAAAATTGTGTGTTTGTGCTGATTTTATTTAAATCTTATGTTAATGGAGAGTGGCAAGTTGGGCAAGAATGCCGTAGTACTAGTTCATGTTGTTGTACTTGGGAGGTGCATTTTGAACATGTCCACACTGTATTAAGTGCAATTAGTGTCCGTCCAGTCACAACACATCCTGGGAATTCTGTGTTACATCCAGGACACGAAACCATCCTAAAATTTATAAATGTATTATATAAATTACGTGGATTCAAGATTTGTTATATTATCTTAGTCTCATTTGAGTATTTCATATTATAATGAAAGACATACAACAATAACCTTGCAGTGTTATAGGATATCTAATTATAGATGAATGATGAATCTTGAAAATAATTAAATTTATATTAAAAAGAGATATTTTTAAATATTTTGATAATTTTTTTAAATATGGTGGGAATTTATAGAACTTACCAATCTAGCATAGCAAAATGGCAATTGGGACAATCTATTTTATTGCCTTTTGCGTCTTTTGGTTTGCATTTTGTGAATATTTCTATGGCCAGGTTTTCAAAAGTATTAGGCTGCAAAATATAAACAATTTATTACATAACTTGATCATAATATTACTTAAATGTAGTGTAATCGCGTAAAATCGAATAAATAATAACATATAGAAATATAATTTTTACCAACATAATAATAATACAAACATTAAAATTATCAAATATACCTACTTCAATAGCTTCCAGTTTGATAAATGCCTTTGAACACAATTCAAATGCTCTGGCTTGTAAAGCTATCGCCGCGATAGTACACCATGCCTAAAACATACAAAAATAAATAGTGTTAAAAAATTGGAAAAAAACCCAGTAGCAAGAACAAGAATAAAAATGTAATTTTGGAACATTCCGTAGGTTTGTTCCAGATCACCCACCGAGGAACTTTTTAAACTTGCGCAAGATTCGATGCGAAAATTCAAATTCTTCACGTTTATTTGAGCGCATATGAAGAAACATTAATATACTTGAGATCAAAATCATGAAAACCTATACCTATTTATAGTATGTTTTAAATTATTAAGAAGAAATACTATATCAAGTTAAGTATTTGATGTATCCTAGAACATTTTCACAGAGAAATAATAATTATATACAAGCATGACAAACAACCGTAGACAAATAGATATTACAATATTAAGGAGTTTCGAGACACAAATATATATAATGCAGCAGCAGTTAGAGCAGTGTTGGCCTAGTGGCTTCAGCGTGCGACTCTCATACCTGAGGTCGTAGGTTCGATCCCCGGCTGTGCATTAATGGACTTTCTTTCTATGTGCGCATTTAACATTCACTCGAATTATGCATCAGGTACAAGAGGCTGATCACCGACTTGTACACTACATATCTGAGGCCCAGACCAAAAAATATTGTATGGCCATTCATTTATTTTATTATATATATTGTAATATAGGTTTATTAAAACTAGTATTAACCTTTGAAAGTCCAGTCAGCCAACAGAACAAAATAAAAATCCCGTTTTGAAAGTGTTTCATTTTCTCTGACGAGTTTCGTAGAGAACATAATCGGCTCTTAGGTATTTTTATTGATGAAAATTATATTTTAACCGATAAATTATGTTTAAACCGAAGGAGACTTTAACGCTCGAGTTGCTGCTGGACATACTCCAATGAACTCTATAATTGCTACGATTCGCAAATTATTATATAAAGAATTCCTATACAATTTTCTTAATTATCTGCGACACGACAGGTTACGACTAGTATATTGATTTCTATCTACAATTAGAGATTTGGCTAAAGATTGTTTTCTAGTGTCGCCACCTACGAGCTATCCGTGACTGCCGTACTTCAAAAATGTATTTGATTTTCATACGGGAGTCCTTCCAGACTTAGTCTCAGATTTTTGTATTTGTTATTTTTATGACGCACATTTTTGGGTCCTAAACACGCGCCTCACGTTTCACCATACAAGCATGTGTTAGTTACGTATAGAAAGGAAAATCTGTTGCTAGACGACGCAACCCTCACATCATTGAGTTTTATGTGATACCAATTACCAAAGGTGCGGTATTCGCCATATGTTTATTAGGAGAACTACATAAAAATTAAAAAAAAAGTCAGGATCAATCACGGTTGTCACTATTCTAAAAGAAGTATTTTTTTTTTTAATTTATTCACAAAAAAATATTTTTAATTTTCCATATTAAGCATTATATTGCTTGTACCTGTAAATGCTGAGCTTCGTGTAAGTCGTCCAATACAGCGGCAAGTCGGGCAGCCGCGCGTAGAGCTATATCAGATCGGAATGGAACTGCGCGTGCGCGGGATATCGCTAAACAAGCCCATTGCTGCGCCTGCGCAGCTCTGTACGAACGTATCGCGTCGCGGCTTTTGGAACCCTCTATTAAATCATTTTTCTATTAGTGAGTTAGTAATTTAGAATAACTAGGTCGACTTCAAATGCTTGTAAACTTTATTTACCTGGGTTTTGGTAATATTGGTAATATTATATATATCCTTCAGAATGTGTGGATACCAATATTTAGTCAAAATTACTGAACCGATTTTGATGAGACTTAGACTAAGTTGGAATTTAGATCTAAATCAATGATCATCTCGATATGTCTTAGTTGCTGAATTTTGTGGATAGATACAATCACGAAAATTATCACGCGTACTTGGAAATATGTATATCTCAGATATTTTTTTATAGAACGGGGCAAATGCGCAGGAGGATCACCTAATGTACTTAACATTAGATACCATGGACACTCAATATCATAGGATTCGCGAGTGCGTTGCCGGTATATTGTCGAATTTTTAGTTGTGTTTTTACTACTAAAGTTTAATGTTATGTTCTCGCGTCACATTTGAATTAAATTGAAGCGCGTCCAACTTATTTTTAAGTAAAAGTATTCTTTTTAATATAAACCATAACTCACCAATAGATGCCTGGCTATACATGTGTCCGGCTAGAACATACAACTTTTTTATTCTCCATGGTGAACGATTTTTCGAAGCCTCGAGGTTCGCCAACTATAAAATTTAATATAAACATTAATAAAATTGTATAAATGCCATGATCACGTGACCGAAGCCCAAGCAAGTGTCCACAACAGTCTCGTTTCGTGTCATAAGTGTTCAAACCATAAAATTATTAATTTCAGGGTACTTATAGATGTCTTTTGGTGACCGACGGGAAAAAAAAAAAATTAAACTGACGTAAAATACTATCAACATTAGTCACGTAGGTATACTGTTTCCCTGAATTTCTAGAGGTAAAAGATTACACACGCCCATATCACTGAACTGATTTTGATGACTAAAGCTTAGGTTTCCTAGAAAAGCGGTGCGGTTAACTAACTGCCGTCATTTTACGGTTGTTAAGTAAAGACGGCCGATACGTCTTTACTTTTTAACATAATGCAAAAACAACATCATTTTCGCTCGTCCAAGTCACGTTTCCACTCATGGTATTAATTAAATATAGGCACCGCTACACGCGAAAAACGTTGAACTAATCTTAACAAAACTAATCTTTATCACCACTATGACGGGCGTCATGCAAGTGACAGCATCACTATTTGACGTTACGGTGACACTCTACGTTCTCTAGAAAACCTACTCCGATGTTATTTATAGACAACGTATGGGTGACGTCACTCAACGTTACATTTTGGCCGTTGGATAACGGCACCGCTTTTCTAGGAAACCTAAGCTTAAGTAAAAATATACCTGATTAAAATCAATATGACTTAGTTTTTGATAAACTTTTTGACACTTACGAAATTTTATACAGCATGTCTAAATTTTATCCAATTCCAACAATATCATATACATCTGAGAGGTTGAACTGATAACCTATCTTCTAAGTAGACAAAAAGCTCGGAAATTAGCTTTTGTCCGCAACAGCTCACCCGTGGACCGTTTCGTGGAACAACAGCTGGCAGCCAGTGCCAGCTTCGACTTGCTCTTTGCTACAATAATGAGCCTTTTGTCCGCAACAAGTAGGTTAAAAAATACAACCTTACAATTTGTGAATATGCTTTAACCTTGTCGAAACTAATTTACAAAGCTCATGGTTCGTTACAATAAAAAAATACGTTTTTTTTTATAAAAACTATGAAAGTATTTATAATTACCTGATAGGCCATAGTTGCCCCCTGCAACATTTTACCACTTTCCTTCAACTGCGTTATCCGTGTAATTGACGGCTTTTGATTTATTTCAACTTTCTCTTCCGAGGTTATTTGTTTTCCTGTAACGTCTACCTGTAAATTTTCAACGATAGTGGAGTTTTGACTGTAATTGGACTTTCATTTTGTAAATAACGTATCATTCACGTTATAACGTTAAACTTGGCAATTGAAATTATTATATGTATAGTATTAAGTATAAATTTATATGTTAATTTAATTAAAGCTTTTTCTTTCTATATTTAATGCCATACACAAATCGTTACTCCACTTCATCATGATAAGAAAAAAAGCGCGTCCTTTCAGTCGCGAGAGCGTAGTTTAAACACCAACAAAACGCGAGAGGTGGCGAGGCGAGGCGACACAAGGTGGCAACCAGCGCACAATGGACTGGAAATTGTTCGCGTTAAGTCATACCCTTAATTCTAGAGAATTCTATCTGATACACCGAAGTTATCTAAATTCCTAATTATTTATTTTAAATTTTTTCTAAAATTTGTGACAAAGGAACATAAATTGATTAATGATTACAATTTTTCCGTCCACCGAATCGATACTTTCATTACAATAGATAACATTATTATACGTAGAAATAAAACTGACAGTAAAAACTAAAAGTTCTGACTAATAATTAAATGTAAATGTGTGGGTACTCATACGTTTTTAGTAAACTAAGCGTATTTATACCCAGGCGCCCTATTAATTTAATTAATACATTATAGCCGTACAGTATTATCGTACACCGTTGTAAAGACGATAATGATTGCTGATTTATTCGAATAAAACACATTTAAAAGAAGGCTTATTAAAACGGCTTAGTTCATTTAACTACTAAGAACAAGACAAGAAGAAAAACAGAAGAAAGAATTACCTTAATGTTTCTAGGCGAAGTGAGTTTAGCGAGCGCCGCGCTGTCCTCTAACGCCAAGTAACATTTTTTCAACCCCTCTGTATTGTTCGACATTGTATAGTATTCTATTGCACCTGCCCTGAAAATGCAGCCTCCAAGTTATATAAATTATTGATACTTGACAAAAAGCATTTATTTATTTGCGCTTCGTTTACCTTATACAAAAAAAATATATATACAGTCAAACCTGGGTAAGTGAGAACTGGATTAGTGAGAAAGCTCTATAAGTGAGAGTAATAGCCGGGACCCGTCATTTTAAGCTCCCAAAACCTCTATTAGCGAGAAACAGAAACCTCTGTAGGAGAGAGTAGTTTTTCCCTCATGGACCTCCGTAAGTGAGACTGCTACTTATCTATACCTCTATAAGCGACAGTCGAGCTTGTACTTTGAATACGCGGCGGTTGTTGATCAAGCAATATTCGACAAAATTTATGAGTTAGAGAAAAACATTCAAAATACAAAAACAGAAACCCAAACGAAATTGACGGATTTTTTAAGTGTTGTGCACATTATGCACATTTATCATATTACATATTTACTACATTCCTACCTCTATAAGAGAGAAACGTTACCCATGTACCGGCATTAGCGGGAAACTCGGGTTACTGAGAAACCTCTATAAGCGACAATGAGATTGGGCTCCCTTGAATTCTCGCTCATCCAGGTTTGACTGTATATATAAAAGCAGGTTACATAAGTTATTAGGCAATGGCCGGCCTTATCGCTAACAAGCGATTTTTTCCAGGCAATCCTAGCATGGAAGAATAAAAAAGAAACACTTACTAGAAGGTAAAGTAAAATGCATAAATAATTAACAAAAAACAGCATAAAATAACATGAAACACTAACTACAACTAAAATTAAAGAATAATAATAATATTAATATAAACAAGAATGTAAAAGCTAATCCAATGGTTACTGAGTCACAATTAATATATACGTATATATAAGTAGCAAAATTACGAGACAGAAGATAAATGATCAAAAAGAAGATTTTAAATAAATTTCAAGACTGATATCGTCTGATATCAAGAGGTAAGGAGTTACAAAGCAGGATACTTTGTACAGTAAAGGAGGAGTGATAGAATTCAGGGTGGATTATATTATATGATGTGGTGTACTTTAATAAATAAATATAATTTAGTAGATTAGAATAGATTTTCCACATCATAAAATGCTTGAAGCCAATCCGCGATTGTACTTTTAATGCTGAAATTCCTTAGCGTTTGAATATTCATATACGCAGTTGGTTTTATTCTATGCAAAAGTAGTGCTTAAAAAAACATACCAATTCTGCCTATCTATGTAGTAGTCCCCTATATTACTGTAGGCTTGCTTCACCTGAGACTCGGTTGTCGTGACAGACATCTTTAACAACTCCACCACTCTAAACCAATGTCCCAATCGCTTCCTTAAAGCGATCGCTAAATCGCTATAAAAAGAAAACAGTAGGGTAAAGTAAAAGTGGAAAAAGTTTGATTTGTCTAAAGCAACTGAAAACTTCAACGGGGGCTTCAACGTTTTTCCCATTGTTTAGGGGCAGCATATGCTTCCCCCTTCCCTTCCCCTTGAACCAGATAAATAATATATTATATACTATAAATATCAAATTTTATTTTTGTAATTTTTTTTTTTTTGTGGTTGTTTGTTGTAATTTTTTCCCTTGATAGATTGCTCATGTTCTAATGTAATATGCGTGTTAAATTTGTGATGTCATATTTTCTTGTAATTTTTTAGGCATACACATTTTTTAGAAGCATACACATTTTTTTAAAAATACAAATCAATAAAAAAATAATGTTTATGTTTTCCATACATTCTCACTTATAAAATATACGTTTATGAAGTGAGTGCAGCTCCACACATTTTAGTAATAGATTCCATATCTTTATTTATAATTCTACTTTACGTGTGAACTGTCAACTAAATAAATCATTACCGACCGTCTGTTTGATTATGATATTTTTTTTTAGCGTTTGCGTGGCAAACCCTGGATGGTTTAGAAAATTTCGCCTTTTAAATCAGCCAGTGTGCAGTGCATGGCTGCAGTCGGTACTTTAATACCTGGTGTAATCGTTTCTTGAAAAATGCAGCCTCGGGTGTTGTCCAATGTATAATACAGTTTCGAAAATTTCAAGAATGGGCTACATTCTGGCTTCGTTTAAGAGCCTGAAAAATTATATACAAAATAACTGAAGTAAAAGTTTGTCTTAATTTCCTTTCTTTATTTAGCTAAAAGTCAAAAGTACAACTTATAACGGGTCAATCAAAAAATTAAGAAATAATAAATTCTGTATATTTTAAATTTAGCTGTAGTTCTCAGGAAACATTTTTAGTGCAATAAAAATAACTATGGACGAGAAGAAAAAATACGGGTTGATCATTAAGACGTGACAATTAAGGGTTTTAATCTATTTTTGTAAGCTGTATCTTAAGGAGGCTAAAGCTCACAAGGGGCTGTTATAAAAATTGATGATGATGATGACGACATCCTAAAAATATTAAGGAGCTTGTAAAAACTAATTGATATATTCAATAATTTTTGACGAAAATAGAGGCCATAGGGAGGAAGGTATAATGTACACAATTAAAGTCACAATACTGTTACTCAACTAGAACTCTTTGTACCGATTTTAAGATGTAATATGTCAATATTTAGTAGGTCTGAGAATGAACAAATAGTATCTATTTTCAAACCGCTAAGGAGGTGTCCATCCCATGGGCAAAACGATACGCCTCAACAAATGTAACATTATTTAGATCAGTCTTCGATGCGCCCACTTCTGCATTGTATTACAGTGAGATATCTTGGATTTATTATTTTGAACTAAAAAATCAGTCTGAATTTGTAGCGCACATTGAAACAAACGTTTGCTTGACTGAGCTAGTTTTTAGATATAAGTTGGATGTGGCCTGCAAATGTCACAAAATAATAATTACGGACCGTCTTGTACTTGCCTTATGAAATTTTTTCGCTTGCTCAAAGTCTTTGACGATGCGAAAATGTCAGCCGTTTACACCGCTGATTTCGAGTGCAGTGCATTATACGTGAACAAATCGTTTTGCCGGCGTATTCGTTTCGCCTTACAACTGCTACCTGCTTTTACAATGGAAAATACTGTTTCGAAACCATTTTGAGCCTGCTTCAACTATAAAAGCCTGAACCATTACACAAATAATAAATGTGATAAACTTGTGCAATCAGGAAAAATAATACATTTCATAATGCTAACTAATTTGACTTTACTACAAAAACTTAATGTACAAGACGTAGTACACAGAAAAATGGTAACAAACTCTACACCGCTATATTATCTTTTTTTACACAAAGCACTTGTATGGATTTGGTTAAACTGTCATGACTCATGGCATGTCCATGGCAGCCTGAGAAACGACTAGTTCAAAAATAAAGTGTAATAAAAAAGACCTAATATCAAATTTTAGTTAATGGCAAATAACAGTTTATAGTCTTTCTGGATTGTACGTATCTATGAAACTTCTTTAGGGCACCCAGCTACGTCAATAAGTTGGATTTTGTACCAAATCTGAACAGAGAATGTTGATCAAAATTAGAAGGCACAACCTAAGTCTTAAAAGGTCGGTAACGAAATCACGAGGCCACTGGCATCTACTTATGTTACGTTGAGAAGAGTTATAACTGAACATAAGATGACTACAAAATCTTTTTTCACCAGTGACATTTTAAATGAAAATAATTTTTAGATGAGCTTCAAAAAAGTCTTCACTCAATATGAGAATACCAGGCTTGTTCTTACAAGGCTCTTTGTGAGAATTGCTACTTGAGGTTCTAAAACGTGCTCTTAGAAAAAAAGAAGAGTATTTTACTCTCCTTACCTTATACATCGACAGAAGCTATTTATGGTCCTGTTTGCGACTACGGTGTTTCGCGGTATTCGCTAGAAAAATTGAAAAAATATACACAACCTAAAACACAGAAAATATACAAATCAGACAGAAATTCTACCAGAATTGAGGATGAGGATGGCGTCAAGAGAACCCCAAGGCTTACCTTGAACTCACAACCCGGTGGCAAGGAGTCAACCCTGTCGACCGTACCTGGTGCAATGGACTGTCATAGGACTCTCAACAATTGAGGTCAGTACATTGGTCGCGGCAAGCACTCGAAAGCGCAGTTGTAATTGGCGAAGTGAAGTCCTGAGGAGGCTAAGGAACTCAAGGAACTGTACAACATATAAACGGATGAGGATCACTCCACAAATTTGGATCTTGTAAAAAAACTTAATTCAAAAAATGTCAAGTCAGATTTCAAAGTTGATAAATGTTTCAATTAGTGTCCTGAATATTTTGGTTACATTTGAATGCACAAACTCTCTATCTCCTAGGCCACTAAGATCTACTTATGTGACTAGAAGAAATAGAAGTTTATTAACACACACACACACGGATAATTTTTTGTGAGGGTTTTAAAAGAGGATAGGCAAAAATTGTATTTGGGATCGACTCTGCGTTTTTCCACTATTTTCGCATTAATTTATTTCATTCCGTTTAAGTTTATCTTTGAAACATCAGTTTAACAAACCACTCATTCTTTCTGTATGTCTGGAGGAGCCCATTGGTCTGTCAAATTATTTAACAAAGCAAAGTTACGTTTTTTCAAAGTCTAATAAATTTTAATTTTGAAATAAGTATTTAACAAACTTACAAAAATTTATAAATGAAAAGTTTTTACCTTAGTTTTACTAAGTCGGGATTTAAAACTATAGTTATTTCTGAATTCTGTTGAATATTTGGATTACCCCTGGGGCATGTATTCTCCAGGTTGCTCTTGTGTGTTTAGTAGGAAGTCCGAGTCATAAAAACTAAGAGATCATCTAAGGTTTCCCCTTTTTATAATTTTTCATTAAGTTTAAGTTTACTGTTTTCGAAGACAACGTAAGTCTGTATTTGATTTATTTAATTAATCAATCTGAATGTACCATTTTCTTTCCCAAATAAACGATTTATTTATTCATTTCTGTCAAATAGTGAAGTTTAGATTACGTTGCAATTAATTAGACTTTTTATAAACGTGAGAAAATAATTGTGGGATAGAAGAACTCACTGTTCATATAAACAAAGCTACGAAGCCTGATTCAGTAAATTAGCTAGAGCTTCCGCAGTTATACCTTAAAAGCACACAAGTATCCATTCATAGTTAAAGGTTCTTCTGGATCGAGATCTCTCATTACATACAATCTGGCCTTCTCTGCCACCGCAAGTAATCGAGGGTTATCAGCAGCCCAAAGTGCCCCCAAGCGTCCTTCCGCACAGCCTGTCCCATACTAATATTATTGGCCATTTCTGTCTCTAAGATATAGAGGTTTCCCGGTTGATCTATTACGAAGAATTTACTGAAATGTTAAAGGTTATCATTGCGGATATAATGAAGACTGTACAATTCTTTTTTGAAGTTTCAATATAAATAACCAACCAAATTAGTTTTACTTATGAATATCGTAAGAGATATTGTATGTCTATAAAAATCACCAGTGGCAAACCTTAAGTTTCTTCTATCGTGATCTTTTGTTTTTTTTTTAGTCTAAAGCTACGGTTTCCTAGAAAAGCGGTGCCGTTATCTAACGGCCGTAAATAAAATGTTGGGTGACGTCACCCATACGTTGTCTATAAATAATATCGGAGTAGGTTTTCTAGAGAACGTTGAGTGTCAGCGTAACGTCAAATAGCGGTGCTGTCATTTGCATGACGGCCGTCATAGCGGTGATAAACAGTAGTTCAACGTTTTTCGCGTGTAGAGGTGCGCATATTTAATTAATACAATGACTTGGACGAGCGAAAATGATGAACAATAGATTTTGTTTAAAATCATGAAGCTTTGTAGAATATCAAATCCAAACATTACAGACAAGCTCAGATGAAGCAATATTTGCGTAACGAAATTGGAATTACTCTTCAAAATACGGTCGCACTACTTCTACTACTTCTAGGAAACCACAGCTTGGCCACCGTAAAGACGGCCGTTAGTTAACGGCACCGCTTTTCTAGGAAACCGTAGCTTAAGGCATGCGATTGCCTCACGATAAATTCCCTAACCATTAAATGCTCACAATGTCCATTGGTGCATAGCCAGGGTTCGAACCTACGACCTCAGGCATAAGACTCACTGAAGTAACTAAGCCATCACTCTTTATATCACGTCCGCGCTCCACAAGGGGGCAATTTGAGTGTTAAGGGGGTGCTATTCGAAAATTTATAAAAAATATTTGAAATTATAATTTTAGTTTTTCATTATATGTTTTGAACACTTACTGTTTTTCGTTAACAATTTCTTAGTAATTTCTTTCTAAAACCTATCATTATTACAACCTATTTCTTAATTCAATTAAATTTTTTAATATTAAAAATTATGTATTGGGGCACAAGAATTTAGAAAGGCTAAAGTAAACCTTGGCACATAAAAGGTTGGGAGACACTGCTCTATATTGTAGTATGTCTATAAGCATCGAAATATGGGGCACCTAGGCACACAACCTTTTCCAAGAAGGGTTTTTTTCTGTACTCACCTAGAATTGCAATTCAACCCCAACTTATACGGCTTAGTGTTCATATTTATTTGCGTGATTTTCTTAAAGTTAACAAGAGAGAAGAGTAACACTGTCCCCGAATCTCGTCCAACAAGCAAATGTGTATCAGAGCATGTGATACAACATATTGTGTCGTCATGGAAACCTGATTCTCCTTGTACCACTAAAGAACCATCTGCGTGGTACAATTGTTCTGTTATTCCTAGAATTTATAAGATTCTACTTTAAATACGCTAGTGTGTGTTTTAATCAAGTAAAATGTATAAGTATTTTGTCTGTTTAGTAGCTTAAGGCCAGATTATAATGAAAAAAAAATTCCATAAAAATTGTAGTGTTTTGGAGTGGAATTTAAATTGCATTGGAGGATATTATTAAAAATGTTTTACATGTTTGGTTAATATAATATTGTGTGATTAGTAGACCGCTGCAGTACATATTTATAAATATTAACTATTTAATTTACCGCGAAGATAAAAAAAAAATAAATCACGTAAAATTTGTATATTAGGTACTTACGAGGTCTAGTCGGCGTAGAAAATTTCCAAATAAGAAATGTATCCTTGGATGACGCAACTGCGATAGCTTTGCTATTGATTGATACATATGACATTGGAATTGCGACTGTTTTCGCTGTAAAAAAAAAAGGTTTTAAAGGCCTAGATAAAAGGTGTGTTAGATTAGGTTAGAGACCTGCGATTGCACCTCGACTGTATAAAAAATGATTTTTCTATCTCAATAATAACTTCTCGTACGCTTAAGAAAACAGGAATAGTATAATGTTGACGACTCTTTGTTCTAGTGGTTAGTACCCCTGACTGCAAATCCATAGGTCCCGGGTTCGATCCCCGGCTGAGACGAACATCGATGTGATGAGGATTTGGTGTTGTGCTTAGGTCTTGGGTGTTTAAATATGTATTTATATGTCTATCTATCTATAATATTTATGTATATCCGTTGCATAGTACCCATAACACAAGCTTCACCAGCTTAGCATGGAACTAGGTTAATTGGTGTGAATTGTCTTTAAAAAAAAAACTCTCAGATTCAGAAACGAGAATTGGCGAATTATCATTCCCGTATGTTTTTGACGCACACACTCGGCCCTTTGCCTTTTTTCTGAATCTTACACTAACACAACCACGCAATAGCAAAAAGAAGTTACACGTGCAAAAATCTGATCCTAAAATATTTATATCGATGTATGTAAATATCTTACCATCGCATTGAATTCCTTGTTGGTTTAATATTATTAACGAGTCGATCGTTGATATAATACAATACTCGTGTACACCGCACATGTCAATCACGTTGGGGATATGATTGATCCATGACTGAAACAATGTTAAGTTCAAGACTCACATACAACATATTTAACATAATTTATAAAGATTGGGACACTTAAATAAATAGGAAAACAGCCTATCTTCAAAGACTTTAAAAATAAATAAAAGATTATACTGACCTGATGAGTAATAGTATCCCAGAATGTAACAGTTTCAGTCCCCGATACAAAAGCTAGAGTGCTTCCATAGAAGGCGTATTTGTGATCTGGTTTGACATTGGCGAAATATATGAATGAGTCAACCGCTATCGCCAGTCTGAGGGAATGCTGTTCCCAAGAAAGAGAACGCATAGAGCCTCCGGGAACTCTTAAAGTTCTTACGTGCTGTGAAATTAATGAAAAAAAATAGTGCAGTGAATATTAATTATAATAACAAAACTTTAATACGACAGAAATATGGTTGTGACAAAATATATCTTACGCTAGTACCCACACTAGGGAGCCCCTAGGGAGTTGTGGGTTACTAAATTAATACAATAATTATACAATTGTTCCGTGGTACATCGTGCATGTTTAAAACAATTTTTGTAAGAAAAGGCGTGTAAGTTTCAACACATTAGATGTGCATTTAAAGTAGAACAAGTGTAGTAAATATCAGTATAAGGATGATAAATAAAGACGAGTGGGTGCTGGGAATAGAGTAAATGGGACGTTGCATTCCTTTATGTGTAGCCAAGAAATCTCTAGTATATGGAGGGGTGCTAGAGAAGGCGCAATAAGGTACTTTTACCCACAACCGATGATCGTGTTTGGAATGTCAAAGTGGATGAATCGGGAGAGGTATGTCAGAACCGTAGCCAGTAGATTTCGTGGTCTCTGCCAACCTCTTCGGGAAAAAGGCGTGAGTGCATAGATATCTATGTACGCAATTAACACTTGCTTGCAAGGAAATTACTGCAAAAAAAAATTCGGAAAAGAAATGACTACGTGTGAGAGGCTCAAAGGGCAGATTACCTACTTGCATATAAAAATAAAATCAATGAAATAATAATGTGACGATTAGACCAAGAGTTGGAATAACAATGGTTTTTAAGTGGCATATGTTTATTGTTAACTTGTGTCACATTTCAATAAATTCCTTTAACTAAACGCAAATTTATAATATTATTTACATAACTCGGACGTTTCAAGCGCTTTTCAGTAATCTTCTAACTCACGCTAACCACCACTAACAAATCACGATGAATTTCCGTTTCGTCTTTTGTTTTATGTTCTCATCGAGATAAATAAGTTGACATATGTTTTTTTACGCCTTTAGTACACCTACGCAATCGCATGCGGCAGCGAAACGACGAAAAAACTGTAAGTTGTATGGCAACGTTTCGCATGTGTTTTGTCTCGCCCTAATATATAGCTAGATGAAATAGTTGCGTCCTTGTCGGTATTGTTTCGCAAGTAACTGCGAAATGGCTGTTACACACACGCAGCCGTTTCGCTCGTGGAGTTTCGCATCGCAAGGCGTCACCACGCGTTCTGTCGGTGAGGACAGAATTTCGCACAATGGAAGCCGAAAATATTGAATTTGATTCGAAATTATCCCGAATTATATTTAGTTGGACATGTTGATTACAAAAATGCATACAGAATCTGAAACGACGTCTGCACCTACAGCCCACCAAAGCTACAATGACATTTCCTTGCGACAAAACTGCAGTGTACTAACTAACGTTCCGCAGATATTTCGCTACCGCAATTATTTCGCAAAGACTCGCAGCCGCATACGAACGCGTATGTGTACTAAAGGCGTTAGACTTTATGGGTTTAAGGCTATGTTCAGATGGCAATGATTTGACGCGCGTTTTCAAATCGCGCGACTAGACATTGTGGTATTTTCATACAACTGTTCAGATGAGCGCGCGTTAGCGAGCGTTAACGCGGCGCTCAGAGAAAAAGTCTCTCGACGCAGGTGATCGCGCGTTGATATTAATGTAATGTCCGTTTGCTGTTCAGTTGAGCGCGCGCTTTCATCGCGATCGCATGTAATTTTGTTAATTTTCGTAATTATATTTTGTTTTCGCATTTAAAATGAGTGAAATTGAAGATATTAACATCGACTTACTAATCGATGAAGTAGAAAAAAGGCCAGCAATTTGGAATATAGGTTCGAAATCCTATAAAAACAAAATTTTGAAACGACGTGCTTGGGAAGAATTTTCTACGTTCTACCGAACTAGACTGACGAGTACTCTCGCAACGCGCATTAGCGCTCATCATCTGAACTCTCTTCAAATTTGATCGCGCGTTGACGCGCGTTACATGTGAACATAGCCTAAAGGTTTAAGCGTGTTTCAAGCAACTCAACATTGCACGAAGGGACAGTGTGTAATATAGATATAGCTGTATAATTGCAAAATTAACGTTAATATTAAGAAAATTAGAGTATTAACTTACTTCACCATACCCACTGAAGAACTGAACAACATTCGCCTGTTCCTGCGTTAGGCCAGCTACCGCTAGCACAGTACCATTGTGATTCCAGCAACATTGCAATATTTTCATATTAGTTTCAACCATCACACTCTCTGTGAAATTTATTTCGAATGCTTAATACGAATTGACGAAATTAAATTAGGAAAACAATGATATCATTATTATTTATTTGAATAGATTTAATTTAGTCTGTCAAATCTAAAACGAGAAAACACTTTCTTCCAAAGTATTAAAAAAATTGTATACGTTGTTATTGATAAAATTTCAGGGCAACCTCCAATTATATCGATTACATCGTAAAACTTTACGTGAAAGATTCCAGTTTTTACCATGAGATTCAATGTGACTTAACGCGTATTATGACTCTCGTATGTCAAAAATGTATCTGATGTTGACATACAAGAGTCAGACTTAGGAAAGTCTCAATTCTGAATCTCAGCTTAAGAAACGTAATGCTACTATTGAAACGTATGCCATTGTTTGTTGTAACAAAATATGTTCATTGGAGATAAGTTTAAAGAATTTAATATTATGACACTATCTGGTAAATATACGCTTGATGTATGTACAAAAAAATATAAACGATTTTAAAACAAACGGTAGTACAATACTCGAAACAGAACTAATCTAAGCGTACGACCAACCTGGCTCCAGAAGTTAAACCTCTCATTATATAGAAATTGTATTCGTTTTTACAACAAACTCCGAAGCGAAACTAGAGAATTATAACTAAATAAATTCATAACTCTCGTTAAACGTAAATTGATCTTTTTATACTTTTGACGATTATTTAAATGATCCTAATCCTTGGGATGGATTTGCTCGAGTTCAAATATTTATGGCTGCTCTGCCTTACAAACAATTTGTATGACTCAAAACTTGGCGATTAAAGAGCGTGGTGGAGAGTTTCTTGCCAATTCTTCATGCCCACTCTACGCCCTTGACTTGCGAACTAGTAAATGTGAATTTAGAATCAATTTAATATCTTTTCTGTAGACGGTCATAAGTATACTTGGTTACCTATATGAATAAAGTTATTTTGAGCTTTAGTTTATTTGTAACTGATAAAACGCAACAAAATGTTTTGGCTTGTTCTTAGGAATTTTCATTTAAACTTACTTATTAAGTGACATTAAGAAAAGATCTTAGACTAAAACGTAATTGTGTTCTAAAGTTTTTTTTAAGAGTTTATAAAACATACCTTCTTCCGTACATGTCTTCATCAATAGCATCAGACCGCTTTTAAAGCATATTGCTAGAACAGGGCGCGAGATCGGAGCCTTTCCAGAAAACCAATCCATTGACACTATTTCCATTCCACTAGATACATTATTACTGGCTATGGGCATCTGAAAACCATAATATACCTTAAAAAACCTTTTAAAGCTTGATTTAATGCTCTCAGGAACTACTGGGTCGAAATGATTTTTTGTGGTGGAATAATATTATATAACATTAATCCATGATCGAATTAACGCTAGCACAGCACTCTATTTCACTAGAAATATGGATTTGGTGTCTTGTCAGAATATAAAGATTAGAACTGCAGAGGAAAACTGGTGAATAGTTCCTTCAACCTAAGAGAAGGTTACTCGAACAGTCTTAACCACTGACTGGCCGGTCTGAAGGCCGCAGTTGCTAATATCGAGAAGTTGTATATGTTAACGTAAAATTGTAAATACCGTTAGATTGTAATCTATCTCGCGAGATTATAAACTGTCGAAAGATTGTGAACTCATCGTACTGCTTACAATTTAACGTATTATTATTCGGTAGATTGTAATCTATCGAAGTGAAACCGTCAAATTGTGAAACGGCCATTTTCTACTTTTCTATTGGTTATAAGAGATGTGACATTATCGGTAAATTAATGGATCGATTATTTCCTCATTTGTTAATTTTAAAGTTAAACCTTATTTAACCATTACTTGCCTAATGTACATACAATACATTAACTTCATGTTTCAATTAGTGTAGGGTTCCGAAAATTTTGAAATTATTTAAAAATAATCTATTTTTAAAAGTGAAAATCGATTTTGGTATTCGATTTCGAGTTTCAGTTGAACAGTTATTAAAAATTAATATACTAACAAAATTAATATACTAACCTAACCTAACCGAATAATAATACATTTTTTGGACAGCTCCGGCGCTACGGGAAATGCAGCCCCTCCACCCTCGTACCAAACACAGGCATTATGCAACCGACGGCTAAGGCTGGTCGCCGAAGGCAACCAAAACCGAAGCTCGGTGGGGGCTCTCTTCCTCCGCGCCCCATTTTTTATATACACTCTAGAGGTAGGGCAGAAAAGACCACGTCGTACGGATAGTGGGTGCTCTGATTCGGTTTTGGGTACTTTTTGAATAATTTCAAAATGTCCGGAACCCTACACTATTTGAAACATGAAGTTAATGTAATGTATGTACATTTGACAAGTAATGGTTAAATTAGGTTTAACTTTAAAAATAACAAATGAGGAAATAATCGATTTGATTAGGTTCAACTTTAAAATTAACAAATGAGGAAATAATCGATTCGATTAATTTACCGAGAATGTCACATCACTTATAACCAATAGAAAAGTAGAAAATGGCCGTTTCACAATTTGACGGTTTCACTTCGATAGATTACAATCTACCGAATAATAATACGTTAAATTGTAAGCAGTTCGTTGAGGTTCACAATCTTTCGACAGTTTACAATCTCGCGAGATAGATTACAATCTAACGGTGTTTACAATTTTACGGTGACATATATATCCTTAGCAGTCGGAAATTCGTTAGCGTGTTTCAAGATATGACGCCATCGCATTAATTGTAGCAGTAGAATTAAGATGTCCATACAGAGCTAAAACTAAAACAACCATCTTTCTTCCATGTTAGGTTCACACTTAAAAACATTTAGTTTGTTAAAACTTTTACCAGCTTTTAGATCTTAGTATGAGAAATGTTTATAATTATTGACCTTACATTAATGCCTGTTATACTTATTGGAAACAACATAGAGAAATAAGTCTATAATATATTTAGCTGAGTTGAAATCATGAAGTATTTCTTTGATTAACATAACTTTTATTCATTTAATAAAACACTATTTTGACCGGATTGAAGTTATGTATTATTATAAATTTACAACTATTTAACATAATTTTAAATTTATCCGACGTTTCGCGTGCTTTACAGCGTGCGTGGTCACGGTGACATTATAATAATACATAACTTCAATCCGGTCAAAATAGTGTTTTATTAAATGAAGTCATGAACTAAAATATCTAATTATATTTTTTTATTAATAATACTTATTACTTACAATAAAATTTCCCTGGTCATCATAAAGATGTAATTCACCATTTGACAAAGCAAAAAGTAATGTGGAGTTATCAGGTGACCACTGTACACACTTTAAACCAGGACCCTTGATGTCTTTACCCCAAACCCTAGAACCATCCACTGAGCCTACAATGACTGCTCCTGAAACATGTATTTACAATTTTTAATGCAAAGTATTTTTCTTATGTTTATAATTACCATATTAGTTCTCCGTCTTTTATATATCAAAACAAAATTTATTTTTAATTCTTATACTTTTTTATCCTAAATGGATTTTAATTGCATGTATTAAAAGTGTGAACTAAAATATTATCAGCGAACATCTATTTTGAAACACAGCCTTTTTCAATTAATTTTAAAGCATCTATTGATCTTATAATAATGAATAAAATATATTAATACCATCTTCATAGGCTATACATATTTTTTGTCCATCAGATCCCCAAGCCATTCCACTCACAGTAGACTTATTTCTGTTGTTTATCATTTCTTCATACCAAGAACCCTTAAAAAAATCACACTCTTATTGTATCTAAAACCAAATGGCTACAGGAACTTTTTTTAAATTTTATTCTCATTAAAATAAGCCTAAAAATCTTTTTACCTTATACAACATCCAAACAATAATAACACCATGTTCATCACTTGTAGTAAGTTTTTGAAAGATTTCATTCCAAACAGCGACACAAACTTGTCCTGTGTGTCCTTCTAAACTTAAATTCATTGATAAATTGCCACCACCTCCTGAAAAAGTAAAATTATACAAGTTAAGGATTTTCCTATTTATTTAAACATATATTACATTCTTCTAGGGACTGCCTAAACTTATTAGTTAAGTCTTCAGTGCCTTTCAAAACCAATTATTTTGTTTTTTTAATTATTAAACTTCTAGCTCAACATTTCAACTTTATATTTTAATTTAAAAGCTATGAAATGCGTTAGTAAAAATTGTCTTGAGCAAAAATTATTTACCTGATTCTAGTTTCAATACTTTTAGCATTCCATCCTCGCCACCCACAGCAATGTATCCGGAAGAGTGATTCCAAGACAAACATGTTACGTTTGATTGTTTTGGAATCGCAATCTGTAACATATGTATTTTATTAATAAGTACGATCAAAGAATTTTTTTTACCTCGTTGAAAAAAATCAATTCATGCACAAATTTACACCTTTTTACTCATATAAATAAACATTTTGTTTTATTAAGTCAACAAATTGGTAATTCGCATTCCTCTTAATATAAAAATTTCTTAATCTCTTTTTATAAAATAAGTACTCGTTTGAAACATTAAAACACTGGTATTTTGAATTTCAGTGCATCAGTTCGTTTCCTAGGATACCGAATAACAGACACAGACTAGCTAGAAAATCATTTGATTCTGAATGTTGACGAACGACGATTCTGTACCCCTAAGCAAATCTAATCTGTGACACAATCATTGATTTTTCTCAAAAAGACGGTACCTCAAGTACAATCACAATATTTATAATTTTAGAAAATTGGCTTGCTTATACTAAACCATGTACATTTCGTTAGTCTATAAGCAAGTAAGAGTCAGCAGAATATTTCCTGTTTTCAAAAAATTCAAAGTTTGAGACCATCGTGAAAACAAGCCATAAAAATTATCTTCAAAAATATAAAAATGTTAGGAAGAAAGCAAAGCCTTAAAGGCGAACCGGTACTAGCAGATTATGGGCCTGAAGAGTCGCTTAATGAAAGTGCTGATATAGAATGGGTGAATAAGGTACATTGATTTTTTAATTATTTTAAGACACAAGACAGGCCACCCGACTATCTATACTCCGGACTAACCACCACCATTTCAATAAAATATATATACCACCGTTTATATGAGTTAAAATTTCTATGAAAAACTTATAACACTGAAACTTATAAGCTAGTAAAGCATATTTTTTCCTTTGTAATTAACTATTTTAATTATGTTGTTGCAGAATTGGGTTAGAAGAATTTTAAGGTTTTGTGCTCTTTTAAGTTTGATATCGGTTTCTGCCAATACTCCAAAGACCTTTGAAAAATATCCAATTATGCAAATAGTTACATTTTCTGTCGATTGCACTGTAACACTTTTGTTTACTGCAGAGATGATTGCTAAGATGCACATAAGAGGAATTTTGAGGGTTTGTAGATGTTTACTTTTTTTTAAAGTTGAATAAGTAATAAATGAAATTAATATTAATTATGAATTTTAAAGTAAAATTTTAACTAATGTAGAAACTTAACAAGTGATAGTTATACCACAATTTTAGGGTGATGTTGCCTATTTAAAGGACCACTGGTGCCAGTTTGATGCTTCCATGGTATTTTTTCTATGGGTATCAGTTTTACTTCAGATGTTTGAATTGACTGGAATTGTGCCAAGATATAGTTATTTAAGTATACTTAGAGCTCCAAGACCACTGATTATGATAAGGTTTTTGAGGGTCTTTTTGAAGTTTTCTATGCCTAAGTCCAGGATAAACCAAATATTCAAGTAAGAACAATTTATTTAAGATTTTTTTTAAACCTAATGTAATGTTAAAATTTTTTTTTCAATTATTGTTTGAATAAAATATGAACAAACCATCTGAAAATTATGTTGCCAGTTATAGATAGCATAGTTAACTAACTAAAATTTAAAATAGTTGAGTCTAATTAGAATCATGGGTATTAATAGTTTATTTTGTTTTTGCAGGAGATCAAGTCAACAAATATACAATGTCACTCTGTTCTTTCTCTTCTTTATGTCATTATACAGTTTATTAGGAGTTCAATTTTTTGGAGAGTTAACACACCATTGTGTTAGAAATGACACTGATCCAAAGTAAGTTGATTAGACTGTTGTGTTGTTAATTAGAATAAGCATATTCCATTAGTCTGACAAAAACTTTTAAGAATTTTTAATGGATTTATTTAATATTTTGTTGTCATTAATCTTATTTCATTTCAGTGAAATCACAATAAATTCTCTAGCGATTCCTGATACATTTTGTTCACCGGAGCCCAACTCTGGTTACCAGTGTTCCAAGGGCATGAAGTGTATGAAACTCAACTTGTCTAAATACATTATGGGTTTCAATGGTTTTGAAGAGTTTGGTAAGTGTCAGTTTAAGATTTATTTTTAGAGCCTCTTAATATTTTTGAGGTGGAAAATCAGGAATTAACATTTAAAGTATTTATATAAATTTATTGTTTTTAGCTACCAGTTTATTCACGGTTTACCAAGCGTCATCCCAAGAAGGTTGGGTTTTCATAATGTATCGCGCAATTGACTCCTTACCAACATGGAGATCAGCTTTATACTTCAGGTATGCAACATAAATACGTTTCAGTGTTTCACGTTTATCGTCTTTCCAAATAAACGTTGAACATTTTGTCCCTTTTGAATTATATTTAGCAATATTATCTAAGGAACATTAAGTAGGCTTTGATACCAATATTTTAGATCGTGCCTCGCTATCGCATTAACCTGTAATGTGTTGGAATAAATTTATTACATGTTACTTGTTAGCTAAAATAACTTACTATAGACAATATACTTAAAGTTTAGATAAAATAAATTACAATAGACAGTAGAGCAAAAAGAATACGAACAGAATGACACTTACGCTTAGTCACGTGACGATGTCTATACAAATCCGATAGATCCGTTTGATGTGTAGATTAAAATCCAACATCAAGGCAATTTTATGAATTCATTACTCGTCTCTCGTTAACCACGTTAAAAAAGGCGCGAAAAGTCGAGTTATGAAAATAATTTAATAAATTCGTTCGAATAACGTTACACGTTAATAACGTTTTGTTCGTGCGTTCGATTCCCGCCTGTATCAATGAATTATTCTTTCTATGTACGCAATTAAATCTACGATTCTGAGCACGAAATACTGATCACCATATTTTCAATAAAAAAATTATCGAAACCGATGCAATGCACCTAAGGGCAGGAGCCATATAGGGCTGTTGTGCCACTGGATCATTGATTATTTTAATTAAAATCTAAGTGCTTTTATTCTATATACTTATATTGAAACGTACGCAACAACTTACGAGCTTAAAAATTGTTTGAACGTTAATAAAAAATTTGTAAAAATATTTAGACAAAATTTTAACTATTGCGTAATGGTTTTGTATATTTTTTTCAGTACTATGATATTCTTTCTGGCTTGGCTGGTGAAGAATGTATTTATTGCTGTAATTACGGAGACATTCAATGAAATAAGAGTGCAGTTCCAGCAGATGTGGGGTGTGAGGAATCCCATTACAAAGAGTAGTACAACTCAGTTTTTCACTGGAGACGATAGCGGATGGAAACTAGTTACGATTGATGAGAACAAACATTCCGGTGAGATTTTTTAGTTCAGGCACATCAAAAATAATATACTGGATGAATTATATTGAAATACAAGATTTTAGCGTTGTGTGAGAAAATACATTCAAAAGCCGGCAATACAACCGTGAGGCCCCCGGTGTTATAAGGGTACATGGGGGGGCAGATAACACTTTATTTAAATTAGCCTGCTCGTTTGCCCAATCACTTGATTGTTTTGACAGATCCCTTATCTTCGTATCTTCTATAGTTCGCGCTCAGAAAAACTAAGAAAGTTTTTTCACTGCTCTGTGCGTTTCTAAATCACTTCTTATTAATATAATATAATCACCTGTTTAATTAACATAATTCCTATATACCATACTAGCCGTTTCCCGCCCGCTTCGCTGGGCGAATTAAAATAGGAAATAAATAAAATTTTATGTTTCATTATTTTTTTTTTTCATATTTTTATTATTCTTCTTTTTAACTTCCCGCTAAGAAAATTAAATTTTTTCGAAAATCGAGTTTTTAACAGATGTTGACGTTTTGAAGTTCGTATGGAAGCATTTCCACGAATGTAAACCGCAATAAAGAAGTACGAACGTTGGAATTTTCAAAAAATAAATAGCCATAAACAATAAAGGAATTTCGCATCGAATGGAAGTAGTTTCATGTTGTTACGATCAGTGGTTTAGGCGTGAAGGAGCCTCAAACGAAGACCATTTTATATATAGATTAGCTAGCAAAAATCATTTTGTGTAACAAGTGTAACTTTAAAGCTCTATATACAAAGATTTAAAGCTTTTACATAAAACTTATCGGATATACTGAATTTTTCGCACGATGTACAGCATTCTTGGTCGTCACGTTACGTAATTAATGAAATTAATTCGCATTTAGATTAGAACTCGTGAGCAAAAATTGTACGTGATTAACAAGAGCTGTAAATTTGGCTAAAAGTTAATTATAATGCAATAAAATATACAAATGTTGATTCTAATTCAAGATCTTCACTTAAACTTTTTAGGAAGTGCACCTGAAATCCTGCACAAAATGCTGAGGTCAGCCTATTTTCGACTGTTAGTTATGGGTGTGGTATTGGCAAACGGTATTATCACGGCCACAATGGACTTCAAACACGACGACAATCCTCGCGAATTCTTTTACGAAAAATACTATTATATAGAAGTAAGTGTTATTTTATTTGCAAGAGTATGGTGGTACAATCACACATAATGCAATATGTCTTACATAATTATAAGGTAGAATTTTAGATTACATATGTAAACACATAATTCAGACATGTAGATCAAAAGTGATGGTATTTGAAATTGAATTGAATATGTATTTACAGATTGCATTCACAATATTTTTGGACTTGGAAGCACTTATGAAAATATGGTGCCTCGGATGGAAGGGGTACTTCAAACATTCAGTACACAAGTTTGAGCTGTTGTTGGCTATCGGAACAACGATTCATATAATACCGCAATTGTATATGTCGGGATTTACGTATTTTCAAGTAAGATTATAATATACTGGTTATATTTCCTAGTCAGGTATTTGTATTAACTTGTATTATGCTTTTCATAATACTTGCTCGTATGATGAAGGAAAATATCGTATGGAACCGGGTATTAGACCCAAAACGTCGATAGCAGGTATCGGGCACTGAAGGGTACTCCCGACCTATCTATCTATATAGTAATAATAATATAGCCTCTATATTCCGAAACTCTTTGATTTTAATATATTTTCACTCAAGTATATCTCGGAATCCGGTGTGCCTCTTGACAAAGGCTTCCTATAACCCTTTCCACTGTTCTCTATCTTTTGCGACTCTTCTCCAGTTGTAGCCTGCTGTTAGTTTCAGTCCGTCCTCCCAT